CTCATGGAGATCCGTCCGTCTCGGGGGTTGGACGGACGGGTACTGTGAGACTCCTACTCACCAAAAATCCCACGATATTCTCCTTCGCCGCCATAGTGCCAATCAACCAGACCAAGACCTGTGATTAAAAGAGATTCTTGTGCGATAATTGGAAACGCTCATCGCAATGGCTGAACCCTGGCGAAACAGCCAAATCCTGCTCCAAGCGAAAATTGACTCAAAAAAGTTACTTGTGAGCGTTTGGTGGACTAGTGACGGTGTTGTTCACTTCAGCTTTCTTAAATCTGCCCAAACGATTGCGGCAGACGTGTATTGTCAATCGCTATAGGCCACTGCTACTTCAGGACAACGCTAGACTGCACAACAGACAGTTACCAAATTAAAAGAGCTTCAATTGGAAAGTCTAAGACATCCACCGTACTTCCCGGACCTTGCTCCAACAGATTACCATTTTTTTCGAAACTTGGATATCTTCTTGCAAGGGAAAAAATTTAACTCCGATGGGGTAGTCCAAAGCGTCTTCAAAGATTTTAATGATTCCCGTCCGAATGGTTTTTTTAGTAAAGGGATGAATAAACTACATATGAGATGGCAAAAGTGCATAAATAGCAATGGTACATAATTTCATTGAATAAATATATTTTTTTTATGGATGATAATGGAATGGTGCACCCGCCTGCGCTATCGGTTTACGCTGGCGGGGCACCAGTGGAGGATGATAAGACGATGAGGTCAGGTCAGTTAGCCCATAGTGACAAATTCACCTGGAATTTATCATGATGGTTTCCAGGGGGAACCGCGTGGAGGTCAACCTGACATGGTACATTGCTAGCAATAGGGTCAACAGTCCATATTACTAACAATCCCCTTTCCCCCTTGAATAAATATATGTATTATATTTTGAAAAAATCGATTTTAGGTTACTCCCTTACAAAACGCCAATTTCATATATTAGGACCTAATATTTTGTATCAGCATTGCACCCGTGCGTAGCCGGGGCGGGTCTTGCGGTACTTGTTTCATAAGTGATTTCCGTTGTGCTACGTGTATATAGGCGGCACTCGCTACCTACTTACCGTCTAGTCATCTAGTGCTTAATCAGACGGTTTACCATTGTAATTACATAAAAAAAATATCAATTCTTATCTGAAATTAAATCTTCAATAAATATGTTGTCATTGTTCAGAAATAATGCATTGTGATGACCAACGAAATTATATCATTTTGATTTTTACATTTTCATATAGATATTGTTAATGATTACTCAGTTTTTAATACATACATTATCATAAATGTAATTTATAATTTTCTCGTTCAGTAATAAAGGAATGGTATGCTGCACAAAATCATTAGAAACATAGTAACCCGATGAGAGCGATCTTTGTTGGTGATATTAAAAAATAATATTACTATGAATTTATTTAATACAAATTTTATTCTATTTATTGTTTTGGACACTGTTCTAGCTGTGAAGGTAAGGTTAATGTAGTGTTTTGTAGATTTTTATAGTATTGATTGATTGCTCGTGAACTAAACTTCGCTATGACCACAAGTTCCATCCCGGATAAGACACATTTATATTTATGAACTAGCTGGTCCCGCGACTTCGTCCACGTGGTTTTTAACTTTATTTTTCTAAAATAAAAGTAGCCTAAGTTACTCCTTATTACATCAGCTACCTGCCAAAAAAAGTCCTGTCAAAATCGATCCAGCCATTTCAGAGATTAGCCGGAACAAAGAGAACGACAGACAGACAGAGAAAAATTATAAAAAATGTTATTTTAGAATATATACCGCATATATATTCATATGAATGTAGTAAAAAACGGTTATTTCAATATTACAAACAGACACTCCAATTTTATTTATATGTGTAGAATACTACTTACCGTCAGGTGAATTGACAGTTTGTGTACCATTACAATTACATCATAAACAGCTTAAAAAGAATTTTCTTAGAAAAACATATACCCTATATTTTTCTATTAGGTATCTTCGTTACATAGTATAAAACAAAGTCACTGTCGCTGTCTGTCCCTATGTATGCTTAAATCTTTAAAACTACGCAACGGATTTTGAAGCGGATTTTTTTAATAGATAGAGATTTCATCTTCTATTTTTAAGATCTGTTCTCACAACAGAATTTTATAGAGATCAATTTAGTCGTTTAGCCATATATACAGAATAGACACAATTATATTAAATTTATCGTATTATTATATCAATAATAATATATCATGACAATTCACTCAAGCTAAGCAGAGCTAGTGTTATGAGTACTACACAACTGATATAAATACATAGATCCATTTTTTTGTATATATAGCATACATAGATAATATCCAGCCTAAACAATCATACTCATGAATACAAATGTTTGCATCGTGCGAGGAATCGAATTCGCGACTATCGAAAGTCATGCGGTGTACCTACTAAACCGCTAGACCACCAAGATCGTCGTAGTATGGAAGTCTGGATAATTAATAAAATCAAATAATGCTAAATAAAGTATAGTAGGTATATAATTGCCCTAAATAACATTCAACATCATACAACATAGTATAAAATGAAGTCATTTCCGATGTCTGTTCGATTAGATCTTTTAAACTGTGCGACGATTTTAATGCAATTTTTTGGTAATAGTTAGTGATTCAAGAGGAAAATTTAAATGTATAATACATGTACACCCGTGCGAAGCCGGGCGGGTAGCTAGGTTTATAACAAAATAAAGTATGCGAACCTTACTGGCATAAACAAAATTGTATTTTAAATGGAATCATACATTTTAATACATTTATGATGACATGTATTAAAAGGTAGGATTACACATATAATATAAGTGATTCTTAATTACTTTTTAATGAAAGACTGATGATCGAAATCATTAGAATTGACTCTACAATTGTCAAATCATACAAATATTAGTGCTATACAAAATGACTAGATCAGTGCTCACTGTCGATAGTATTAAATAGTAATGAATGTATTTCACATATTTTGTATTCTCTTTATTTTAGACTCTGTATCTGCTGTAAAGGTAAGGTCTTGAAAATGTATTTTTTCTTATTTGATTGGAATATAAACGAGCTGTCGACTCCTGTTATCTAGTGTAAAAGCCTGCATGTCCCCGACACTCGATTTTTTATAAGGTACTCTTTAGCTCATTCATATGAACAATCCTAGATAATATAAAAATTTTAAAAATGTGAAACACATTGGATATGCTTATGCTATCTCCGATTCTGTTCCTTTTGCATATCAATGACATGTTGCAAATCAGCAACATTCATTGCTATGTGGATGACGGTACCGAAGATAGCTTGTATAACGGCCATACTAATATGTACCAGGCAAAAGTTATAGAGTACCGGAACAAGCTTGTGTCTGAAATCGAAACTTCACTCCATCAAGTTTCGGTTTGGGGTCAGAAAATTCTTGTTTAATTCAACCCCAAAAAACACAAGTGTGCGCGTTTACAGCTAAAAAGACTGTATTTATCGTGTCTCCTCATTTTCCTTGATATCAAGCCAAATCTCGAGATCCTTGGCGTTGATATATCCAGTGACGTTCAGTTTTGTGGTCAATTGGAGGACAAGGCTAAAATAGCCTCTAAAAAGTTAGGTGTGCTCAGTAGAGCGAGACGGTATTTCACTGCGGCCCACAGATTGCAAATATACAAGGCACAAATACGGCCGCATATGGAATACTATTAATCTCTGGGCGAGAGCACCACAATAACAGCTACTTACATTTGACCGCATTCAGAACGGAGCAGCCATAATCATTGGTAATCAACGTCCCAATGTGACAGACTTGACCCATTGGCTCTGCGGCGAGATATTGCATCTCTGTGCATTTTCTGCCGCATATATCACGGTGTGTGTTCTGAGGAATTGTTCTGATTAATACCAGGTGCTGAGTTTCACCACCGTACCACCCGCCAGAAACTAAAAAACCATCCTGATCATCTGGATGAATGGCAGTCCTCTAGAAACTTTTTGCCGCGCACGGCTACATTGCGGAATCACCTTCCCGCAATTATATTTCCGAACCGATACGATATTGATACCTTCAAGAAAAGAGCTTATTCCTTCTTAAAAGGCCGGCAATGCATTTGCAATTCCTCTGGTGTTGCGGGTGGTCATGGGCAGCGGAATTCACTTACCATCAGGTGAGCCGCATGCTAGTTTGTCCCCTGTGCTATAAAATAAAAAAAATATATCGCGCTTGGATGAGGAGAGCCGCAAAGTCTCTGAATAGAGATAGAACGAATACTGAATTGTTCCTATTAATATTAATGGATGAAAACTGTGATTTTACAACCTATGCTGTAAATACAATAAATGACGTAGTGGAGTAACTTGAAACAGTCATGCTCGCTATAAAGTTCAAACTTATGACGGCGAGGTGGGCCTGATCAATGTGTTCCCTCTAATGTGGTTGAGTGCAATGATGGCTGCCTCATCCGTGAATCCGTGAACGGGTGCTGTTTGTTCCCACAAATGACCACTGATCTGTTCGGGTTACGAACACTGATTGCACTATTTGCTTTTGACAAAATTCCAATAGCATATGCTGGTGGTCACTCTATTTTCCCAAATTTGAAATTAAAAATGAATTTGTGTTCTTTAATATATTGTTTTGACTTTTCATTACTGTATGTTACAAATAAAGTGTATTCTATCTATCTATCTCAAATTACCTGTCGACTGCATAGGTACCTTAGTTTCACCATTTACAATAATAAATGATATTTGAAAAGAATACGAGCTGAGTTTCTTGTCAGTTCTTCTCATCTCGAAATTATTCCGAACTGACGATAGATTTGACATATCATAAGAGTCTGTAATAGACCTAGAATTTGTAGTTACTACATTTTTCAATTGGTATTTGATTCAGTGCGTATTTATGAAGACTAAGAAATCATGCCTCCGTACTCTGTAATTTACAGCCCCATCTCACCTATCACCAAAAACTTATTTTACAAAGTAATCTGCTAAATGGCTAAAATAGGTGAAACTAAGGTACCTATGCAGACGACAGGTAATTTGAGATAGACAGATAGAATACACTTTATTTGTAACATACAGTAATGAAAAGTCAAAACAATATATTAAAGAACACATGTATAGTTAAAAAAGGTGGCCTTATTGCTGAAGGCAATCTTTTGAAGGCAACGATAGGGAAACGGGTTTAAAAATTAAAATGCTATACTGAATGAAATTCGAATATTGAGGAATCTTTTGCTTTTAATTATTTGTAAAAAGAATATGTACTTGTATTTCAGAGAATACAATTTCTGGCAATGGAGCGACCTCGTATAGAGTACGTCGACCGCGAATATATACCGTACTCAAATGTTACGTCACTACGTCACAACCGCAAAGATCAATTTTATTACGTCAATATACATATGATGTTGGCAGTGCCATTTGGGAACAACGTGACTGTAAATATATAGTACAGTACATTTTTTTATATATTATTATTTATGTTACTTGCATGGTAATCGAGCTGACGGACCACCAGATGGCAGATAATAACTATGGCTTATGCATGAAGAAAGGAACAGTATTGAAGGCAAATTACAACATTTCAAATAATGAGTGATTACCTTTTATTTCTAGATGCATTTCTATTTCTACGAGTGGCTTACCAATCAATACAAACGTGGCTTCATTGAAATGCACTTGCCTGCGTGTATCTTAATACACAAGAATAAATTCTTCGGTACTGCATTGAGAGGATATTTTCCATCAACGTGCCCCATACCTGTGGTATTCAAATCTTTATTTATTTATATCTGTACTTGCTGTGCCCGCGGTTTCACCGCATGTAATTTATAGTCTATATATGTTAGTCTGATCTATAAATATTTGATCTGTATTGATCTATAAGATATATTACTGTAAAGTTTCATCAAAATCCGTTCAGTAGTTTTTGCGTGAAATAGTAACAAACATCCATACACACAAAGTTTCGCGTTTATAATATTTATTCATATCAATCTTGTTGTCAACCCCGGTTTTGCCCGGGTGCTCCTAACCGCAAGTTTTGTATAAGTTTTGTACGATGAGCATATGTATGTTTTTATTTTTTTAAAGAATACATTAGAATATTGTATTTATGTATCCATTACCTCTTAAATACTTCCACTGTCACAGCGTAGGTTGGCTGGAAGAGATCTTTTTCAGAGATAAGCCCACCCCTGCTCACATTTTTGTATAACATATTAACTTATTTAATATTATAAGTGCAATAAAGAATATATATAGCTATCTATAGCTATCAACATCTATATCTCAGCACTCTCTTACAGTCTTTATATTACATATTAGTATACTATTTTTTTATGAACGATAATGGTATGGTACACCCGCCTGCGCTAACGGTTTACGCTGGCGGGGCACCAGTTAAGGATTATATGGAGATGAGTTCAGGTCATTTAGCCCATGGTGGCAAATTCACCAGGAATTTATCACGATGGTTTCCAGGGGGATTCGTGTGGAGGTCAACCTAACATGGTACATTGCTAGCAATAGGGTAAAGCGTCCACATTACTCAATGCCTTTCCCCCATTGGTACAATGTCATTGGACAATTACATAATTGTTGGGAACTTAATAACTTTATTATATGTTATCATCGCAGTTCTTCGCGGACGGTGGAGATTTTTTTAAATATAATTGTAACGGCAAACAAGCTGAGGACCCATCTTATGGTAAATGGTAACCGTCGCTTATGTACATGAATAGAACCACGAACGCCCTAATACGTCCGTAATACCACACTCTAGCGTTGCCATTTTGGACGAGTCAGGTACTTCTCATCCCCATCCTGTAATTTCACAGCTTGCTGTTCAAGCAAAATACAACATACAAAGCAAGCTGCTTGGCAGCTGAAGTAAATACACAGAACTACCCGTTCAGACGACTTTTTACTAAGTCCATTGCAGTGCAAATTACCATGATCAAGCAACTTTTACAGACCACCTGCAATTCAGGGATGACAATCCGGTCATTGTAATGTATAGTGGCAGACGTACAGTAACAAATTTCAATAATTTTCAGGGTGACTATCACTTATACAACATGACAGTTCCAGTAGACCAAATTCCGAGGGGGTTCCCGTTTACAAAAGGCCGCATATACTGCAATATAACCATAGATAATAATAATAAACTTATTGGATCAGCACATATTGATATTGAACTGAAAACTATTAGCATATAATTTACATGACAATTAAATGTGGTCTGGCCCCGCCTTCGCACGGGTGTACATGTATTATATGTATAAAGTTTCCTCTTGATTCACTCTACCTATTTAAAAAAACTGCTCCAAAATCGGTTGCGTAGTTTTAAAGATTTAAGCATACATAGGGACAGACAGCGAGAGCGACTTTTTTTTATATTATGTAATGATAGAATAGAATAGAATAGAAAATCATTTATTCAAGTAAACTTAATTTAAGCACTTTTGAATAGTCAACATTTTTTTTTTAAATCTACCGCTTATTCGGAAAGCTGTCTCATGACAAGTAGAATAAGCAAAAAACTTGTGTATTGCTCTTTTAAACAATCCTTGTAAGTTCACATTTTACAAGTCGAAACATGTGAATACAAACTACCAACCAATACTAATTCATTTAGGCTCAAATATAAAAACACAATAAGATTAAATCACTCGTAGTGATACGAGCAGACCAGTCCCTACAAGCAGCACTCGTTCACGAGTATGACGGATGAGCCAGCCATTACTGCGCTCGACCATATTTTAGGGAGCCCAATGACCCGGCCCACCACGCCGCCACATGTCTGGACATTTTAGTGAGCATGACTACTCATTTCACTCGACCTCGTCATAGCTACTTATTTAAATTGTAAACTGTAAGTACCATATAATAATATGGTAGTTACAGTATTCGCACTTTACATAAGGATGCATGCGGCAATCACTACAAAAGCCGCTACGCTATCATATTTCAAGAAAACAGTATGAAAACGAAATTATATCGTTGTCCGCTAAAAAAAATTTAATCCCGATAAAAAAATAAATTTACAATTTGAACATTTTGTCTATATTATTAAAATGACATGATATTACCACAAAGATAACAATTTTTTGTTAGTCGTAAACACAATAAAATTGATTTTATTCTACACTAGCGACCCGTCCCAGCGTGGTAATGGATGTATTACAAATTTTTGAATATAACAAACGTTCCTCTTGTTTGGTCTTGTCGTGTCTTGGCTTGTATGTAACAAACCTTCCTCTTGAATCACTCTATCTATTGCAGCAATTTGTAGCAAAATCCATTCCGTAATTTAAAAGATATAAGGGAACGCAGCGGCCGTTATAAGCACATAATGATGGAAACATTAAAAAATAACAATAGATTTTAAAAGAATCAGTTCAATTGACGGCCACAGTGGTCTAGCAGTTTGGGACACCGACTTACTTCTGAAGGTTTTAAAAGGTCCCTGGATGTTGAATATGTTTATATTCAACATCCAGGGACCTTTTAAAACTAAAAGAAGAATCTCATATGTATCCCGTGGAAAAAGTTTCACTCGAAAATATCGCACCATGAAGGTTTTATGTCAATTCAAAGTATCTATTGCTATAGAACGGCAATTTCATACTTTAGCCCCTATTATTAATATTTATAAAAGTTAATTTAGTCTGAGACTAGCTGGCATTGTGAGAAAGAGAGAGAGAATGATATTAAATATCACATTTTCACATGAGACCGGTGCTAGTATTTCTTCTTAGCGGTAAAACACGAGGCCCGGATCTATATAAATCTTCACACCGTATTACCGCTTAGTGATAAAAATTCCTTCCTCCGATATCCCCTTTTGTCATAGAGTACCACCGTTTCACAGATACTTAGTGATTTTAATACATAGTGGTCGCTAGTAGTCGCCCACTCGTCGAAATTCAACCTTAATAATCTATACAATTAAAATTGGAATGTCTGCTTGTAATATTGAAATGTTCCGGTTAATCTCTGAAATGGCTGGACCGATTTTGCCCGGACTTTTATTGGCAGGTAGCTGATGTAATAAGGAGTAACTTAGGCTACTTTTATTTAAAAAAAAAAAGTTAAAATCCACGCGGACGAAGTCGCGAGTACAGCTATATATAATATAAGTAGTAGTCGCCCAGTGGTCGAAATGAATAAATAAGAAATAAATAATTTAAATTGTATGTTTGAATAATATTATCGTTCTGATCCATACAAAACAATTTGTATGGATCAGAGTGCTGGCCCGTAAAGGCGACGGATGAAAGACGACTGCATGCAACTGAAATGCGAATGTGACAAAAATGAACAAGATAAAGAATTAATACATTAGAGGAAGTATGAAAGTGATGTCGATGTCTGTTAGAACGAGGTTTGCAATGGATAACTAGACTGGTTGGTATGGCATAAGAAGTATGTTTCAAACTCCTTTAATACTTTTATTATTTTTAAATTTATACTTTTACAACAATTCTTTTTATATGTCATTTTATTTGATATACTTCACTTTATTGTATTATTCTCTTATTGTCCTTTTGATAGTTCGCAACTGCACATTAATATATTATATTGTTAGAAAATACGTGTTTTTATCTCGTCGAGAATGTGTTGTCATCTCGTCGGCCTTCATATTAATGTGTCCGTGTGACCTATCTATATTATTGTATTAAACGTGTTTTTATATTATTTATCTTGGTCAGAAATATGTTTTGTTTATCTATTATTCTAAGTTATTTACTTGTACACCACTATAGTTACTCTGTTAAAGTGAGAAGTTCGGGGGTAACTTCCCTTACAATGTCGGAGAATTTGAAAAGTAGTCGTCTGTCATGGTATATGCATGTAATGGGTAGGAATGAAGGAAATCTTTTAAATATAGTATAATAGATGAATGTGGATGGTTGTAACGGCAGAAGAAAGCTAAAATGAGAGGGATGGACTGTGTGAAAGATGATATGGCAAGAAATGGTAAGATAAGATGAGATGGTAAATAACGAGATGACTGCAAACAAAGAATGGAAGAGAAAAACATATTACGCCGGCCAACAATGTATTTTTTATTCGTAATTTAAAAAGATATTAGCGTTCTTTCACTCGAGTGTTATCAATTTAATTTAATATTATTTTTCATTTATGAATTTATAAACATTAAATGAAATTTAAAACTTATAAACATCTCAACTTACAATAAGGAAAAGTCATGTAAGTATAAGAATTGATATTTACATGTTTCACTATCTATGATGCCTCTGAGTTATCTCAGCTCTGTATAAATAGTCAATTCCATATAAATATTTACGGTTCTCAAACCGCTTTATAGGTATAATAAAATCAGTTCAAATCGCTGTAAATTGGTGAAACATTACTCTTCTAAGCTGGAATTTGCACTGCCTGATCACAGAGAATGTGGCAACACACGCAAACAGCAGCCACACACACACACACACTCACACATTTAAAGCTAAATTACAATAACGTTGCTTAACACCATTAACCGGTAAGGTAATGGACAGACAGACATATTTTCCCGTTTATAATAGGTAAAGATAGTATTCTTTCAGTATTCTTAATAGTCATGACGATATCCAATTTATCAGAATGCCACTAGTTCCAGATTCTAAATCACAGTTTCAGCGTAGGCGTACCTCTGACTAGACACGGTGGAATAACTCGCAAAGGGGAATCGCACTAGTGTTGCGCAATAATAGCTCGCGTCTAAGATCAATTTAGTTCGCCGCTCTTTTTAAAAACTAGTTCTGGTTCATTTTGTTAAACGGTTCGAGTAAGTGGTCTTTTTTAAAAGATAAATATTTATTTCAAAGTACCTTAATAAAAATAATATTATATATTTTATGCCACGGTGTCAAAAAAGCATACGATTCATCTGATCGTAAACGGTTACCGTCGCCTAAAACACCAGCGGTGTCACGAGTTGTCGACCCTTAATATACATACTATTCTTGAATAACCCCATGCTGTAGTCTCTAGAGAAAAATTTGGCAGATAATTAATTTAGAACCTCAGTGCATGCGGGAGGAAGCATTTCTGAAACAGTACTGTCCAAGACCACTTAGATTCCAGGGTGTGGGGATGAATTCTCTGTCGATGGCAAGCAGTACGATGGTAAAAGTTAGCTATAGCTGTAGCAAATTAAAAATAAGGAACAAATTGTTTTGATCAGGATGGATGTGATGGAGATATTCAGTGGATTACAGATATACAGCAGTAAATATAATTTATTCTCGTTCCGATCACAGGTGCACGTTACATATAAACTGTTATTTAGCAACATGATTACTTATGTTAAATGTGATGGATTAGACTTTTTTTTCTAAAATCAATGTGCCTAATACAGTCCCTTAATCCATTACATTTTAGACACTCTACATCTCTATATTTAAATAACATACATATTATAAAACAATATACAGAAGAGTAAACAATAGAACAATAGTAGCAAAAGACATCCAAAATTAAATCTGTTAAAATACTAAACACTAATTATAGTTGGACCTATACAATAGGATGGAGGAGTAAATAGTGGTCGTATTGGTATCCAGAAATCTATAGTATTTACCCAGTATTGAGCGTACAGGATTCAACAGGAGAGCACTAACCTAACATGCGTGGGATATAACAGTTTGTTCCCGACTCATGTCAGAGAAAGGCAGGAAGCTAGTCAACCTTTAGGCATATTAATGTACCTTCACACAAATATGTGTTCTTTTTTTTAAACCAACATTTACCAAACGAAGTTATGAACGAAGATCTGCGATCTAGCTCGCGTAGTTCGCCATTGGGAGCGCTCTCCCGAACAGTTCGTTCGAGAACCACCCAAGCCCAGAACATACCCGTCCTACGTACGAGTATGAAGACAGTACTCATTTGCATTTCCTTTTGCTTCCATTCAAATTCGTTTTCTCAAAATTTACTTACATATCGCACGTTTAATACTATACTGTATTAGGTCCAAATTTGCAAAGTTTGGAAAATGGACTTAAAAGTCTAAATCTGAAGGTTAATTTTACAAAAATCGAGCATTTCTTTCTTAGAGCAGTTTATTTTTAAATCCTGATAGATCGTTAGATAATTCTCACCTTTCTCAACAGTACGTACAAAATTGTTTTTGTTACTAAATAATTAATGTTGAATAATCTTAACTTTAAAATCTTATCTGTGCTATTAATTACATCAATTGTTTTTTTTTAATAGTCAAAAGAATTATATTATATATTATAGTTCATAAGCTTCATTCGAACTATCCAGGACTATACAATGATCCTTCGAGCCGGAACCAATTTTAGTAATTTTGTATTTTTTGCAGATGTTACATCTTGGGAAACATAACATACATCTTATATTGTATTTTTATAAGGGGTATGGTTGAAGTATAATTGAAGGGGAACCTGTTATCGCTATAATGGATGCCGCATGGTAAATGCTTAGACATCCTGGCATCTTTGCATTCTCTACATATAAGTTTTTATTCAGAACACCTGCTCGTTATTTGTAGTCATCGTAGCGTGAACGAAACTGAGAAGAAGCGGTCGTGAACATTTTTAGTACAAGAAACGTAATAACAACTCATATAAATATACAATAATGAAGGAATTTAAGGAAGATGCTACATGTGGATGGTTATAAGGGTAGTGAAAAAAAGAGATGGATGGACTGTGTGAAAAATGATATGGTAAAGGTAGTAAACAACGAGATGACTGCGAACAGGGTTAATTGGAAGAGTAAAAACATATTACGCCGAATCGAAATAAATGGTATAAAGAAGAAGCAGATGATGATGATGATGATGGTAATATACCATAATGACTGCTATCCGAAATGGGGTAGTCAGTGGCATTGTCAACTGTCAACATTGTTACGAACACAATATTTGACATTTGTCCACATATCGCTCTATATATCTAAAACCAGCGTTTTGTATATTTAAAGCTTTAGTTCTTTTTTTACTTCACAATGTAACTAACATTGTGACACGAGAACTCTTCCAAAATAGCTTGACTTGATTTTTAAGAAATTTTATATGAAGATTTAGTATGTCTGAGAATCTACTATCAATTTTTCATACCCCTATTTGATATATTGTCCACCCCTAAATTTATTTTTTATTTATTTGGCATTTTATTTTTATTTTTATAATGTGCATTAATTGTTGTGCATTATGTACATGTGCATACATACAATCCAAAATTTTCAGCCTTCTACCATCAACCCCTATTTTTTACTATCTATATTAATTTATATGGCAAAATATAGTAAAATATAAATGTCATAGTATGATGATAGATTCATAACATATAATTTAATATCCATTTATATGAATGAATAATATTAAATTATATGTTATGTATAATGCTAAATATTGATAATGTGTTAAAACAATAATTTTGTTATGTTTGGGTGCCATAACTGGTTTTGTATTGATCTAACTATATATGTAACTGTAAACATTATGGAATCTAATAAATATTAAATATTGTTCTCAGTGTGAATCAGTAGAAATATAAATTGTATTTTTTTGTGTCAGCAGATTTGATTTCACGACCTTTCGGTGTAAATTAGGATAGTAAACTACTAGGCTACGACGCTTTCGAGCTTAATCATAACCTATATCTTTGTACGTAAGAAATATTTGAGTCTGCGTGTGCCACTGGTGTTACAGTGAAACTTCTTGAAAATCCACAAATTTCACCTACTTCAGTTCTTAACGCTTTCATATTAGAGTACAGAATAGTTTGTATTAAATTTTGCAAATAGCGAAAGTAAGTTTGCAGTTTCTAGCCAAAGAAATGGCAGCAACTTATCATTTCTCGGCTTCGGCTATAAATCGGATGGTGTCATGTAATGCGATCTGTCATGACAAAGTCTTTGTTTTGCGATGTTTGTTTATGGGATGCCGATAAATAATGGCCTTGGTTTGTGGCTGATTGGTCGGCATTTCTGTTGTATGAAAATGGAGCAGTAAAATTAATTTTATTTACTAACTAACCTAACCGCATGGAATTTAACATTATTTTTCTAAAATAAAAGTAGTCTAAGTTACTCCTTATTATATCAGCTACCTGCCAATAAAAGTCCCATCAAAATCGGCCCAGCCATTTCAGAGATTACCCGGAACAAATAGACAGACAGATAGTTAATTTGTTGTATGTATGGTACATATTCATGTGCATGTAGTAAAAACGGTTATTTCAATATTACAAACAGGCACTCCAATTTTTTATTTATCTGTATAGATAATGGCGCGCTTAAGCCACTAAAAACTGAGTCGTAATCATATCAATTTATTTCTAATTTAACTCTCCTAACGCTGAGTGATTACCGCCACCCATAAGCACCCGCGACACCAGAGTAATAGCAAGTGAGTTGCCGGCCTTTTAAGAAAGTGTACGCTCTATTCTTGAAGGTTTTAATACAGTATCAGATCGCATATATCATTGCTGGAATGTAATTCCATAATATGGTCATATCTGCTATCCGCAACATTTATCTGTTACCCGCAACAGTTACCTGTTACCTGTGAATGTTACCTGTTACCCGCGACACTTACCTGCTACGCGCAACAGTTACCTGTTTTTCGCGACAGTTACCTAAATACACAAATAAATACGCCATTTAATATAAGTAATTATGAAAAAAATTGTCCTTTATGTCATTTGATTTTAACGAAAACTTTAGTATATATCTTATTGTTAGTTTTAATAAAAGGAGAACCTCAAATATTGTGCTCGTGCAAAATCGGAGCGGGTCGCTACTGTCAGATAAAAGTCTCACAAAAGGCAAGCGAAATTGCGGGAATCAACTAGTGTGAGATGTCCGTATTTTTGTGATACGATTTATTTGCACTCCACATCCATTTTAATTAAGATCCATTATTTAAAAAAATGTATATTGATTTTTAAAAATGTGAATGATTATCGATTATTTACATAATGTAATATATTTTATTGTTATAAACAAGTACGTTAATTAAAAAATACATTTATATACTTACGATTAAAATTGACAAATTATTATTAATAATATGTGAATGTATAATAAATATTTATATTCTTGCGTATTTCAATTCCATGTCAATATATCCGGCCACTATAATTTTATTTCTAATATTCTCTGTAATGTTGCAGTAGATTCGACCCTTTGTGAATGGAAAACCCTTCGGCACTTGTTCTATAGGGATCGTCATATTGTACAGGTGGTGAGGCCCCTGTAAATGCGGATATGTGATAAATTGATACAGTAAATCTAGTAAATGTAGGTATTTTACACTTCCAGCGTATAAACCGAACTGGACTGTGCAAATATTTTCTTCGGACTACTCTAATGCTGTTGGCTGCAGCTGGCCTTTACAGCTTCACCGGACGATAGGGGGCGAGTGCAGATGGCACTCCAAACCCGCGGAAGGACTTGAGTGGCTGAAGGCCAACTCCCGCCTAACGGATACGACTTTAGTCTGATGGCACTGCTAGAGGTTTGAACCTCGGCTTAGGCCGTCGTAATTTCGATTCCCGTTTGAATTGGACGGGGGATCGATCGGAGGGGACTGTGCACAATATCGTGGTTCTATTTAAAGACAATAGATAGGACCGTTGTGGTCAAATCAGAATTTATATCTTGTACACAAAAATAAACATGATTCAAATCGATACAGTAAATCTGTAATAGCATTTGGGAGGATGGATTGTTAGTAATGTTAATTTACCGTAACTAGAGGTCCCTGAATGGTCAAAATTCGACCAGAAGTAATTTAAATTATAAGTTTGAACATTATTAAGGTTCTATTGTCAGATTTTTCTATGCCTGTGTGTGTCAAATAGATAGTGCTTCAGATATTAATAGAATAAAAAAATACGTAAAGGAAAAAGTTTTTACAAAATTGCGCAGTCTTAGTATGAAATTTCGCAAACTTGTAGTTTATATAGAAAAGAAGCAGATTGTTAATTGTTTTCGTTATGACTAGCTTTGCCCGCGGCTTCGCTCGCGTTTATTTATCCTCTTAGGAGTGGAATTCATCAAAATCCTTTCTTTGGGGATGCCTATCTCATGTAGATATAGCTAATGTCATGCAAAGTCTCAGCCTAATCGGTTTGAAATTGACAAAGTTTCATACAAATTTTCATCCCCTATTTTATCTCCTTGGGGGTAGCATTTATCAAAACTTAAGGGATGCCTACGTCATAATATCTACCTGCATGCCAAATTTCAGCCCGATCCGTCCAGTGGTTTGGGCTCTGCGTTGATAGATCACTACGTCAGTCACCTTTGAGTTATATATATTTAGATTAAAAATACATAAAAGGAACATTACCCACACTACCATGTATTTAAAACATATGTATACATATATATCTATTGTTTGTTATTAAAACCTGTGGTCAAACTGAGAATAGTTTAATATTATTTGTCTATTGGATAAAAATCTTGATATACATATATTTTTTTTTAGTTGTGACTCTTTTTGATAGGGGTTGAGTAACGTACCGAGGGTATAGGACAGCTTGGCGGCAAATGCTTCCTCATTGCTGCACCGAAGAACAAATCCTTGTGTACTAGATCACAAAACGTCATGTGCATCTCGATGAAGCCACGTTTGTATTGGTTGGTGAGGAACTCGTAGAAATAGAAGTGCACCTAATGACAAGGAAAAACACAGTAGTTGTAGTTATATAAAGTTATATGTATTTGTAATGCCAAGCAATCCGACGGGCTTACATAGTCTCGTCAAAATGAAATAGTTTTCCATGATGTCTTGATGATCTACCGTGTGGTAGTGGGTTCGATTCCTAACACATGTTTATTTGTATTGTTCTGGGTGTTGTCTATGTACAAAATATATAAGCATTTCTATCAGTTGTCTAGTATTCATAACACAAGCTCTGATTTCTTGGGTCTAGACTGAACTTAATTGAGAAATATCTCGGTATATTTACCGAGAAGAATTGTTTTCCAAAAGCGACATATGTGCCAAATTTATGTTTTCTTTCATTCAACAAAGCAAACAAGCTGACCATCTGGTGATAAGTGGCAATGTCATCATGTGATACTTCGACTGAAGCATTGTTAAGATGCATGTCTCTTATTCTGTAATTTCACTCCCTAATCGCTCCCTACCGAAACAGCTGCTTAGCGGCTTAAATAGGTGAGACTGACGACCCACGCCAGGTAAAAAGGCAAAAACGTAATCTTTTTTTACCCTGGACAACTAACACAGCGCCATCTAGATCCTCGGTAAGCAGATCTTGTGTTATGGGTACCAGATAACTGATTTAAATACTTAGATATGTTTTTTATAAATCCATACATAATATACATAGAAGACACCCAGACCGACACAAACAATCATACTCATGAATATAATTAAAACTGGAATAAATAAGGTTAGTAAGTAATATAATCATAATACTGTAGTGTTGTGTCCAAATGGTACGGCCAGATGAAAATGTAAATCGACATAGTAAAATGGATCCTTGCGGCTGTAGCGTTGAGATGTCAGGTTTACATAGGGTAAATAGTGGGGGTCGGAGTATAGAATAGAAGGCCTCTCTGTGCTGAAATACTGTATTCTCTGAAATTACAAAAAAAAAAACAACATTAGGTTCTATCATTAGATTTTACTGTCATTAAGGTCTAAGTCACTCCGACGATCTGGTTAAGATCGCTGTAAAGCGTTGGACGCAGGAGCGATCATCGTGGAGATTTTTGGGGATAGATTTTTGGACCTCTTCCGGACTGAGATGATGATGAAGATCTAAGTGTAGTCTATGTTCGAATTAGGCCTCGTGGAGATTTTTGGGGGAGGCCTTTGTTCAGCAGTGGACGTCTTCCGGGCTGAAATGATGATGAAGATCTAAGTGTAGTATATGTTCAAATTAGGCCTTGTGGAAATTTTTGGGGAGGCCTTTGTTCAGCAGTGGACGTCTTCCGGGCTGAGATAATGATGATGATCTAAGTGTAGTTTATGTTCTAATTAGGCCTTGTGGAGATTTTTGGGGAGGCCTTTGTTCAGCTGTTGACGTCTTCCGGGCTGAGATGATGATGAAGGTCTAAGTGTAGTCTATGTTCGAATTAGGCATCGTGGAGATTTTTGGGGTAGGTCTTTGTTTAGCAGTGGACGGTTTCCAGGCTGAGATGATGATGAAGATCTAAGTCTAGTCTATGTTTGAATTAGGTCGACAGCAAAACTATGTGTAAACTTTATATATCATTTTATATACCAATAAAAAATATCCCTAGCATCGATCAGCATCGATCCCTCTTCTAATTCAAACGGGGATCGAAATTGCTGGTTAAATATTATATTGTTTGTTAGAAATTAACTTGCAAAATTTATTATATTGATAATTTTATAGTTCGCGAAACTGACGTTTTTTTAACCTAGGGGGCACGGCTTCGCCGTACGAAACATAGGGGAGGTGTATTAAACCACCATGTTTGTGTCTATTGTCACAATTTCAATTTAGTAACTCACATCAACTCAATCGATGGCTTAAAAATAAGTTTCAGGCTTCTAACTTTAAAAATTACGATCTTCCATACAACCTTTTATCTCCCCTTTCAACCCCTTCCAGTCTCAGTAGTTTTTGCGTGAAAGTTAGACAGGCAGAGTTACTTTCCCATTTATAATATTAGTAAAGATATGGCTATTAAAATTTGGGGTTTTATGGCAGAAGGGTATTTTTTGTATTTTAATATCGAATAATAATAAAAAAAAATATGTCAAGTAATAAAAGTAACAGGGGAAGTGATAAGGGTGGTTCGCCCCAAAACAATTTACTTTTATTATTTGACATATTTTTTTTTATATTTTATATGTCATAATGAATAACCTATTCTCAGATCTACTCAGTATATATATAAAAAATCATCAAAATCGGTTCAGAAGTTTTATTCTGACGCGGACAAACAACGTTATACGATTATATATGGCTATATAATATTATATAAATAATAATATTACACAACACCTATAGTTTTATAGAGTGTAGAAAGCCAGTATCTTTTTTTTTATTTATGCAAAAAAAATACATTAAGTCAGTAAAAAGAACAATGCATACACTACTATATGTATATTTGACACACACGCATATGTATTCTTTTGTTTATTGTTAAAGTCTCTGGTCTAATTGAGAATAGATTAATATTGTTTGTTTTTAATATTATTTATCTATCGTAAAAAGTAAGCTGTTTTGTTATGTAAATTCTTCACATATCTATATAAATGTCTAATTATTATGAATACTACCTTTCCCATGGAATTCCTTCTTTCTTGTATGGAAATTGTAAATAGAACGCTAACAAATAGAATCAAAACAACAATATCCGTCATATTGAATTACGAAATTATTAAGAACTATTAATGCGGCCAGCCGTGTATTTATAATCTGTAAAGCCGGAAATACATATATAATTTTATATTATGCACAGATAACTGTGTTATTAAATTATTATAGTAGCTTACATCCGGCACAATAATAAAAATAAATTTAAATTATGGCAGATAAGTCCCCTGCCAGTTCTTTGATGACTAGTAAGTTATTTATATATATGTAAAATTTTAGGCGACGGCTTAGTAACTGAAGAGATTGGGTGCTGATGATGTCTCTGATAGGCCGTTCTTGGTGCTAGTAGTTGTAGCTGATAGCACACTGGATTGCTGGTGAGAAAGGTTCTTTCACATTAATTATGCTTAAGTCCTATTTTTTAATGTACAAATGATAAACATGCATTAATGTCAATGAAATATATACATATGTATATAACAAAACAAGTCTGGCCACAAATACTGTTACCTAAAAACTTTTCTTTTTTCTCAACGTTTTAATTATTTTGAAATTGGAACATAGTTATATTGTATATTATTTCGATTTTGCGCCATCCCACATATTTTTTCGTGTTCATTATCAAATTACAATATGAAATGCGGTGTTAAAGGAAATAGGATTGCAGTGATCGCTTTACGCAAAGTGGGTATGGAGTCGCCTCGTCAGTCATATTCCAAACACTTCAAAAGCTTGTTATTAGCCGTGTGTTCGTATATCGTACTATTAACAGATACTGAAATACTTCGTCTGTCGAAGACCAGAAAAGATGGGGGCTGTTGCGTGCTATTGGAACTACAAATGCTGTTAATGCTGTAATAGTCAGAATTCTTTGAAGCTAGGACTTTGTCGCGTATTATTAAATAAGACCTGAAGCTCGGTGCTTGTCGATAAACAGGATATGTCCTAAATCAATCAAAGAGAGTGTATCGATCAATACATCTCTGATATTTCATGATCTCTCACTCTGAGATCATCTGATACAAATGACATTCTTCTTTCAAAAATGTACAATATTCAATTTGCGTCTTTCAGTTGTTTATTTTTATTAAACTTAGACTGATAGAAGAATACTTCGAAAATCCGAGTCATTTTTGAATACGAATTCCGACGAGAACGTGGAACGTGGAACTTGGACACATGTGAATAATGATGAATAGATTAGATTAGATTAGAATAGATGAATGGATGGTGGAAGCCGATCCGACTCAAACTACCCTGGAATTAGCAAGGTCAAACGCCGCAACAGTGCCCTAAAGCAAAGCTTAGCAATAAAAAACATAAGTGTTACCAAGTTGTTTACTCACTAACATATGAATGGATATCCGAAATAAATGAATAAATATATAATTTTAATACAAAAGTATTATATCTACTTTTGTCATCAAACAAGTGTAATCTCGATGAAGTGCGGGCTATCAGTCCAAGTTTTATTGTGTTTGCGGCGCAACTTTTGAGATGGACGCTAGAGATTGCGCGAGGGACCATTGTACTCTACGCTCAACTTGTACGGAAATGATAATAAAACTCTTACCATTACTATTAGAACCTAATCAAAACTAACTTAGTCATCTAGGTAGACATTCTATGAAGTAATTTGCTTGCTTACTTCAGTCTTAATCATTTATGAATGTAGGACGTTTTAGCCGCTTATGAACGTAATTTGTTTGTATTAATATTTTTTTAAAGATACAATTCCAGTTAAATGTTCCAATAAAAATAATTCCGATAATCAAGTTAAAAAAGCTATACAGAATATTGAAAGGTGGCTTAATTAATACTTAAATTTAAATAATAATAAAACAAATTTCATTCAATTTCATACATATAACAGTGCACCCTTGAAACCAAAAATTACTTGTAATGGCATTGATATGCCAACAGTAGATTTTTACGTATAACTATTTATAAAATGGGATTTTCACATAAACAAATTTACAAATAAATTATACCGATTTGTGATTACATGTACTAAAAATAATTCATCAAATTAATTTCATATTATCACGGCCATGTTTCGTCGCTACTACGATATGGTGTAATACTATTCGGAAATTCAAAAGATATGTGTTAGGCCTCTATGTGGAGAGAGGTAATGGATAGCTGCATATCACTGTTTAAAAACTTAATATTCTCCCACTACTTTGTCTGGTATATGAAATGTGCATGTTCGTTGACAAATGCCCCCATATATTTAAGAGAAACTGTGACATTTTAAAAAGTGGAAGTTGACATAAATACATACCATATTCCGGCCACTCAATTATAAAAATTTAAACGTTAAACAATTTAAAAACAAATGATTAAAGAATTATAAAATAAGTGCTATTATTCCATAGAGGATTATTTAAATGATGATAATGTATTTATACATATCATAATAATAATTGTTTTAATTCAGGCGCAATATCATAATACCGTAATTTTCAGACAAATAATGCAATTTTAAATTATATAATTTTGAATACTGATGACAATCACAAAATATTATTGTAATTTACACACCGGAAACGGCAGAGCATGTTTGGAATAAATTTAAGATCTCTATGTACACACGTTCGAGGACAAGAATTGAATTGAATTGACGACCTTTCGATGTAAATTAGGGTAGAAAACTACTGAACCAAGATAAAGCAACTGCTTGTTTGCCAACGTCGTAGCATAAAAAAAAACTAACTTTGTACATAAGAAATATTCGAGTGCCACTGTGAATTTGAAGTTTCTTGAAAATCCACATATTTGCAACAAATTACAAATAATTTAGTTCTTACTACCTTCATATTGGAGTTCTGAATAGTTTGCATTCAATTTTACAAATAGCAAAAGTAAAGTTGCAGTTTCTAGCCAAAGAAACGACACCAAATTATCATTTCTCCTCCTCCTAAATAATAATCCGTAAATCCTCTTGAATCAAATTTATATATATTACTAAAACTGCATTAAAATCCGTTGCGTAGTTTACAAGATCTAAGCGAACACACTGCGGAAGTGACTTCATTTTGTTCTACGTAAAGATACCACAAGTTCAAGCCAGTAAAACACTAAAACTTCATTGTCATAGGCTAAAGCTTAAGCCATTTATCTCACGTCAAATTTCATTAAAATTGATTCAATCAAAACATTTGTATATATGGATCAGTATATATATTATATTGTTATAAACAAATGTTAATTAATGAATACATTTATGTACTTGCAATTAAAATTGACAAATTGTTATTATTGGTATGTGAATATACAATAAATATTTATATTCTTGCGTATTTCAATTCCATGTCAATATATCCGGACAATACAATCTTATTCGTACCGTTCTCTGTAACGTTACAGTAGATTCGCCCCTTAGTGAATGGAAAACCCTTCGGCACTTGTTCTATAGGGATCGTCATATTGTACATGTGGTAGGACCCCTGTAAATATGAACATGTGATAAATCGATGCAGTAAATCTAATAGTATTTGTAGGTATTTTACACTTCGAGCATATTAACCAAACTGGACTGTGCCAAATTTTTTTATTGTGATTTCACTGAAGCTGTTGGCGCAGCTGACCTTTACAGCTTCACCGGATGATTGGGGGCGAGTGCAGATGGCACTTCAAACCCGCGGAAGGCGAACTCCCGTCTAACGGATACGACTTTTGTTTGACAATTAACATTTTGTTTTATTAATGTAATAAAATTTATAAATAATACTGGCACTCTGAAATATTTTTTTTTAAATTTGGAGTCATTTTGTTGCAAAGTGTTCTTACCTTGGGTACAGGGCAGCTTGGCGGAAAATATTTTTTCATTGCTGCTCCGAAGAACGTATCCTTGTGTATTAGGTCACAAAATGGCTTGTGCATCTCAATGAAGCCACGTTTGTATTGGTTGGTGAGGAACTCGTAAAAATAGAAGTGCAACTAATGACAAGTAAAAACACAGAGTAATTGTAGTATCAGAAAGTTATACTTTTATGTAACTCGAAGCATTTAACGGACTTTCACTAGTCTCGCAAAAATGGAATTGTTTTCTTCGATTTCTCGGTGGTCTAGTTTCGATTCCTATCACATGATTGGTTGTATTGTTCTGTGATTTCTAAATATATTATGTATTACCAAAAAATAATTTGGTAAATTGAGGTTTACCTCTCTCGATGCTAAAAATTATTAACTACATGGCATCCGTAAAAAAATTTAGATAAAGTTTGGAAGCACCAAACAATAAGTGTACGGATACCGTGAGTGTTGTGTGTCGTGATCTTTCGTTGGATAATCATCATTGTTCTTCCAGTCAGTTCGTGACCACGGCTTGTGCAACCTAGTCGTAACGTCGAAAGAGGTAACTATCTACATATATTTACCATAAAATTAGCCGTGTTAAGTCGCGGTAAAAATATAAGTATGTGTAATAAACACGAAAGCACAAAAAAGTCCAGAGTTATTTTTCAAAATCCTTTTGTTGTATAAAAGAATTTTAGAATAAATAACCTGTTTCACTGTCTTCTGCAAGTAAGCGTACAAAAATGTGATCTAGAACACTGAAACATTATATTTTCCAAAAGTCATTTTTGCACGCGAATTCGTCCGTGTGGCTAAAATCTACCGAGATAATTGCTATCACTAAAAGCGCTATGTCCCTAAAAGAAAATATAATGAAATTTGGTATACGCTTTTATGTAACATGGAAATCAGACTGACTACGTGTATCTGAAGCATTGTCATTGCGAAGGACTAAGATGTCATGGCTCTTATCATGTAATTTAACTTCATAATCTTCCCTTACAAACGAAATACTGATTACAAAGCAAGTTGCTTGGTGGCTGAGATCGGTGACACTGAGATAACCACGCAGTCTGCATACATTCCTTAACCTCTGGTCATTCTTGTAAAATATTTTTTAAATATGAATACGGGAATAATTATGGTCAGTAAATAATATAATCATATTACCATAAAATTATTTCCAATAGGTACGATAGTATCAAGGTGTATATTGACATAGTAAAATGGATCCTTGCGGCTGTAGCGTTGCGATGTGATATTTACGTAGCGTACGTACTCACTGTCGAAGAATATTATACCAGGTCGTTCTGTGCTGAAATACTGTATTCTCTGAAAATTATCATATAAAACCAACATTACATTCTTATTTTACTATTTTACTATCACAAGGGTAGTATATGTCAAAATTTTAGATATATACAGCTAGCAAAAATACTTTGTGTTTCCTGTACTGTATATGTAACCTTAGTATTACAGTGTTTGTTAACTGTCGTCTCGCGCCGGGTGCACAAGGACCGGGAAGCATAAGTGGGGCATAACAAAACCAAATTTTCAGAATCGGCTACGAAGGAAATTCTTAAAAGTAGAAATACAGTATTAGATTTATATACTCAAAAAAATTATTGTATTGATAGAACATTCATAAATTATGTAAAAAGATACTCTAAAACTTTTAAAAAGGTTTGTAATGTAGCAAAATGTAATACTCTAAATAAAAAAATTAAAAATACAAAAGATAACATAAGGACAGTGTGGAATATTATTAATATAGAAACTGATAAATATAAAAGTCCATGTAATGATTTTACGTTAAAATATAATAATAAACTAGTAACGTCCACGAAAGAAATTATCAATATTTTTGATAATTTCTTCGCCAATATTCGTACTGATATTACTTCTTTTTAGGACTCTTCTTCAAGTACAATTAAATCATTCCTTATTGACAATATTATTTCTTGACTTTTTACATTTAAATTTACATTGATTGATTCTGCTGTAATAATGAAAACATTTTAACAATTAAATTAAAAATAGATAGAATACCATTGGGGCATGTATGTTAAAGTTATTAATGCCTTCATAGATATTCTTACTCCATGTTAAGTAACTAACTTAAATAAATATATTTCTGAAGGTGTTTTTTCCAATTTAATGAAACATAGTAAAAAACTCACTCTTTAAGTCAAGAGAAAAACCTGTAATAGTTATATGCCTATACCGAGTAAAGTATTTGAAAAAAATATGCTCGATCAAATGCTGCAACACTTTAAAGTAAATAGACTACTTATTTGATTCTTGAGAGGGGTCTCAGGATGCAGTCGGTGTATTTTGTGAACTTTCAAAAGCATTTGATTGCGATCAACATGAAATACTTTTACACAAACCTGAACATTACCATGATTTTATCATGATAAAATCCTATTTAAATAATAAAAGCAAGTTGTATAAATAAATGGCGTAAAGTCTGAGGGAACTAGTGTTATTTCTAAGGGGTTTTTCTCAGGACTCTATTCTAGGTCTTTTCTTATTTTTAGTTTACATAAATAAACTTCCTTTTATGGCAGAAAAGATAGCTGACATAGTTCTGTTTGCCGATGATACTTCATTAGTATTAAAAGTTAATCGATATAATAATGATATGACGAAACTAACAGTGCTCTATCTTCTGTTTTGAAATGGTTTACTTCTAATAATATGCTATTACATGCAAATAATACTAAATTTACGCTCCCCAATGTAAAGCAGGTGGATTTGAAAATCGTCTTGGACAATAAACCTATATTGTTAATTTTGTTATGTGTTTCTAGGTATTACATTAGATTCCAAGTTGCAACGGGGTGGCAATATTTCTAAATTGCCGCGTCGACTTAGTTCTGCCGCTTATGCGGTAAGAAGAATGAACTTATTTTCTCTATTTTCTTAGCATTATTTATCTATTTATTTATTTAAACTTTATTAACAATTGTACAATAGGCGGGCTTAATGCTATTGGCATTCTCTACCAGCCAACCTTAGAAGTGCAGAGATACTCAAAGGCGGTTTAGTAAATTAAATAAAAATGTATTAAATAGATATACATATTATAAATAATGAAATATAAGATACATACATATAATATATATTATAAACAAACTATACATATAAATAAGATGATGATGAGCCTTATTACAGTACTATGAGATACAATTTAAAAGATATTTATTATTAACTCTTTTTTTAAAAGTATATTTAGAAGGAAGTGTGCGGATGTCTTCTGGCAGTGAGACCCAGAGACGTGAGGCTTGTAAAAGAAAAGAGTCGATCATGAAACTCCTTTTATGGAGTGGTGTAATCAGAACGAGGGAATATTTAGAGCGCAGGTTACGGTCATGGGCATCCCTGAGATACTGAAATTTACATTTCCAGTATTCAGGGGAAGAGGGATTGAAGAGAATGGAAAAGAGAGACAGAGTAACCGTTGCTGTCTGCGCTGACGAATTGAAAGCCATTTAAGTTTGGAGCGGTATGAAGAAATATGGTCATACTTGCGAAGGCTGAAGGTAAATCTAATAGAATTATTTAAAAGACGATCTAATTTATTAAGAAGATCTCCGTTAAGGTAGGGAGGGTAGGGTGTGTGTTGCACACATCAGCATAATCAATGATGGGAAGAATAAGAGATTGGATAAGAGTGACCTTCGTTTTAATAGGAAGAAAATTTCTGAAGCGATTTAAGAAAAGTAGAGGTGATAAAACCTTATAACTTACATGAGCAATTTGCGGAACCCAACTCAGCGTCGAATCTATATGAAGACCAAGATCTTTAACTGTGTTGCTAAATGGAATAACTAAATTATCAAACGTGACAGGTGTAACGGTAAGGAGATCAATTTTAGCCAACTGTTTCGGCCCACTCAAGATTATGACTTGACACTTGTTAGGGTTAACTGGTATACCGAAATTACAGGACCACGAGTAAATGCTACACAGGTCGTAGTTTATTTTTGTTATAGCATAGTCTAAATTATCGGCAGAGATATGCTCATAAATTTGCAAATCATCAGCATAAAAATGATAAAAACAGCCAAGAAAATCAATAATCAGAAGAAAAAGTAATCGTGAGATTATACGCAACGCGTTATACGGGAGTATTCCTACAACGCGTTTTCCTATAACGCGGAACCAATCTCCTGTTTTATAGAGGGGAATATTTTAAATATGAAATACAAATATCTTATTATTTGAATACTACCTTTCCATTTGTGGTCCACTTTTCTTGTACGGAAAATATAAATAGTTCACTAATAAGTAAAATCAAAATAACAATGCCAGCCATGTTGAGCAATAAAGTTATATTAACGTGGTCAGTGTACAACATCTGTATTTATAATCTGTAAAATCAGAAATTACAAATAACAATGCCAGCCATGTTGAGCAATAAAATTATATTAATGTGGTCAGTGTACAACATCTGTATTTATAATCTGTAAAATCAGAAATTACAGATTATATGATTTTATTTCACGCATCATTATATGGAATTATCTTTGTAGGTATCATCTGATTACTGATAAAAATTAAATTAAAAATGTGAATTGAGTTTCTGCCTGTTCTATGATGTCTAGTATATACCTACGAGTCGTATAGTAAGAAAAATATATATGTCTATGTATTTAATACTAATAATAATAATAGTAATCTCAGGACAATTCACATAACGCCATCTAGATCCAAGTTAAGCTAGCTAAAGCTTGTGTTATGGGTACTAGACAATTGCTATAAATACATGGATGCATTTTTTTTTGTAAATAAATACATATTATATTATACATAGAAAACACCCAGACCGATACAAACCATCATACTCATCAATACAAATGTTTGTACCGTGCGAGGAATCGACTCCGCGACCATTGGATAGTAAAGCGGTATGCTAAACCACTGGACCACCGAGGCTGTCATTTGTATCAGTCATTTAATACCCATAACACAAGCTTTAGCTAGTTTAACTTGGGTCTAGGTGGCGCTGTGTGAATTGTCTTCCTTCCTCTTTTCTTCTATTTTTTCCTCAGTAATAATTTTACTTTAGAAAATTATCCACTTTAAAATAATGCTTAACTAATTGTATTCATACGCACAACTGTCGATTAAATGTTTTTTTTCAAATATCACATGTGAAACCAATAGTTTCACATGTGATATTTGAAAAATAAATAATTGGCCATTGGAGAATTAAAAAAAATATAATGCAAAAAAATTTACGGTCATAAACGGCTAAAATGTCCTACCTGAATAAATTATTTTTGAATTTGAGAGCTGCCTAAACCCAATGGTAATAAAAATTCTTATTAAATGTATCCTAAAATACAATGCAACTGAGAATTTTTTCGAATTCGGTTTTATTTTCTTAAATATAATGTAATGTAAATTGGACTCTATTACCCGCATTTAGCCGACGTTAGGCAGGTAGGTGCACCATTTCATTGTCATCCACAAAAGAAAAAAACCGCATTTTGACTCTCATCTAGGTCGTAGTGCGTAGAGCCTACTAAAGCAGCCAGATAAGCTCCTCGCAGAAGCGTAGGCGTCTGCTGGTGTCTTCACAGGTTTCACGCAGCGACCTAACCGTCCCGAGGGCTTGTGTACGTTTATTTCGTTGGTTTATTAATGATGTAGAGTTTATGCAGTTAGGTGAATTAAGTAATCAGAAACAAGATAGAGCCGACCAACTCAGCATAAAGGTACAGGTAATTTGCAGCGCTGATATTCTGTTGATTATGTATTTTCTATGATGGGAACAACAAAAAGTTTATTATTATTATTATGAGTAGTAATTTTGGAGTGATACTCTTTAGTTATTTTCTAATTTCTACTCTACCGTCTAGTACACAAAGTTACATTTGGGAAAAATGCTGGTGACAATAATTGTCATGTGGAAGGGCAGGCCTTGAATTTGGTATGTACTTAATAGAATAATTGTGCGTTTATAGAGATTATAACTGAGTACCTTATTTAATGGAATATGGAACAATGAATCGGCAAAATTAATAGCGGAAGTTAATTATCTTTATTCATTTATAACATGAATAAATCAATTGCTTTTCGATACAGAGACGTTTTGGTCTATAATGAAGTGGGTTGACATGGATATGTATATCTGTATTATTTTATTTTATTTAATATTCTTAACTATTCAGTTGGAGACAAAGGTAGTATTATATATTCTATTTAATATATCTTATATTTAAGTTTTGAGTAATATTTTTATTTATTATTAGATGGCTGCGTCACTAACGACGCAGTTGTCGAAAAATTACAACCGTTTGCGTAAATACCTGAGCATAGCTTTTTTTTAATTTTTCTAATGCTGTTAGCCGCAGCTGGCCTTTACGGCTTCACCGAACGATAGGAGGCCAGTGCATGACTTACGAAGTGAGTAAAGGCCAACTCCTGCCTGACGGATACGACTTTAGTCTGAGGGCACCGCTAGGGGTTCGAACTTCAACTCGGGTCTTTGTAATTTTAATTCCCGTTTAAATTGGCGTGGGATCAATCAGATAAGCATTGCAACGGTCACATAAATCTCCGTATCATGGAATTTCATAGCCATAATAATGTCTTCCTCTTAATAACGGAACACAGCTTCGAATGCAATCTGCGTAGCGGCGGAAATAATCTGCCTTTCATAGCGAGACTAATAAATTTAATTTCAATATTATTAGTGATATGTTTGCTTTAGTTGATTTTTCACATATCGTCTTCTGTACATTAGTGAAGTAGTCAATGGTTTTAATCTTTTACTAGTAGACAATTACCAATCCCATTGCGTCTCTTTAACATATTTTTTTAAATTCAAATGAATTCATATTCTGATTTCACTTCCTACGGTATGGGATATTAATCATAATACTGATCACGATGTTTGTAATGCTCGAACGATAGGGCAGAAGTGCAAGTGGCACCCCAAACCCGCGGAACAATTGAAAACAACCATACCTATAAGTTTATAACAGTGAAATTAGAATATTCAACCACCTTCTTCTTCTCAACCTTCCAGAACTTACATTTCTGAAAAATCATGTTTTACCAGAAAATTGATATAAATTTTTGTTTCAGAGAATCCAATATTTTAGTACGGAACATCCCAAGATTTATTATTTGGACACCAATCATATAGAGTACGCAAATGTTACGGCACGTCGCCACGGGCGTAAAGATCCATTCTATTATGTAGATATACATGCGCGTACGCATGTGGCCCTTGGAAACAACTATACAGTGAGATCTTTTTTTTCGGACTACTTTAATGCAGTTGGCCACGGCCTTTTACAGCTTCACCGGACGATAGAGGCAAGTGCAGCATGGCACTCCAAAACCGCGGAAGGACTTAAGGATCGGCTGAAGGCTAACTTCCGACTGACGATACGACTTTAATCTGAAGGCATCGCTAGGGGATCGAAGCTCGGCACAGGCTGTTGTAATTTCGATCCCCGTTTGAATTGGATGGGGGATCGATCGGAGGAGAGTGAGATAGATTTATTTATCTTCTTTTATACTAGCTGTGCCGGCAAACATTTTTTTTACATATAAATTAATGATTTTATTGAAGGGTTATTATATATAAGGCGACCACTAATCATCAAGCCATCAGCTTGCTCCTCCAATTACATAAAATAAAAAGCAGAAAGACCTTATTTATCAGTCACGTCATTTGATGAATAATGTATATGACGGCCTGTATGGTCTAGCGGTTAAGCATCCGCGCTTTAATTCCGATGGTCGCGGGTTCGATTACTCGCAAACATTTGTCTTCATGAGTATGATTGTTTGTAACGGTTTATAGGTAAATACAAAAATTATGATCAACTAATAAAAAAGACAAATAATATTGATCTATTTTCAATTTGACTACAGACTTTAACAACAAACAAAGAGCTTCTTTGTGTATAATGCATGTACCTAATGTATGTAATGTATTTTCATGCATGATTTAACGATATTTTTTTATTTAATAAGTTTCCTTCTCCATGAGTAAATTATATGTGTGCGAAATTTCAAACATCTCCGACCGCGCAATTTTCGTAAAAATATGCACAAAGTCTTAGCTTCTCATATTAATTTAATGAGTAAGTAAGGTACAGTTACAGCAGTGTTCGTACGTTAGTGCGCAGTTATTATATTCGATACATTTCATTGAAGGCTCACTTCTATTTCTTCGAGTTTCTGAGCAACCAGTACAAGCGAGGTTTCATCGAGATGCACTTCAGATATTGTGACCTAATTCTCAATAATAAATTCTTCGGGGCCGCAATGAAAAAGAATCTTCCTGCAATATGCCCATTTCCTAAGGTAATAAAAATATGTTTTATCAATTTGCATGGTTTTCTTTGATGTGAAATTTATTGATTTAGGTATACCTCGAAAACCAGTTACAGTACAACCAGTGAAATAGACCGTGCCAAAAAATGGAATATTCCCAATTTCTTGAATCTGAGACAGCTGCTTAAGATGTTGTTTGATGGAAGTCTCTATAAAAATAGATAAAAAACTTGGTTGTCTTAGTCCAATAAATACGAAACTGCATGACAATAATCTAAATACAAAACTAACGAATACATGCAATAATGAATAAATACAAAGTTTTGACAAGATTTAATCTTATTACATTCAAACTTCCTTTGAAAGTTCGAAAGAATGCTCTCCTAAAATCTTTGTAGTAATTTACATTACCGCGTGATTCTTTTTCCTACTTGCTTTCTTATTTTTACGTCTTAAAAATGTAAAGTTACAACGATTCTTTAAAAGAGCAACGCACAAGTTTCTTGCTTGTTCTTCTCGTGAGGAGACAGCTTTCCGAATGAGTGGTACATTAAAAAATTGTGATGACTATTCAAAAGTGCAAAATTTAATAAACTTATTATTAAATTTTGATGAATCTGCGTTTCGAATGAAATGTAGAATAAAAGATATGACTATTCAAAAGTGCTAGTTTTGAGTTTATTTGAATAAAGATTATTTATATTTCTATTTCTAGTAGTAATCTTAAATATAGACAAAGCAAAGGTGGACCTTATAAAATGTCCAAAATTTTAAAATAATTATTTAAAAGTAATATGATTATTATTTTCAGGGTGAGTATCATCTGTATAATATGACTATTCCAATAGAAGAAGTACCGAGGGTATTTCCTTTCACCAGAGGACGTATATATGTGAATTTAACAATATTGGACGCTGATGTCGTGATGGCAGCGTATATTGATCTTGAAGTTAAAGAATTCACAACGAGAACATGAATACGAATAATAAATTTTCCTTATTTTATTAGAATAAGAATAATTTATTGCGCCAATCAAATTACATAAAAGAAAATACATTTAAAGGATACTCAATTAAAGGCAGCAAAAGGACCCAGCAAATAATACTCATTGGAGCTGTTGGATGTACATAATATTTTATTGTGTTATTTTTATTATAACTTGTAATTCTGTAAAATCCAAAGACAATTTTATTGTTTTTTTGTCCTTTCGCCTGATTGTGATATTTTTGTAATAATTCAGATTCTGGCTATGGACTTAGTTTGACTAAATGAGTGTGGTGGATTCTGCGATTTTGGTTTGCGATGACAATGAGATGCAATATAAATTTACTGAAAATTATAAAGATATACACATAAAAATCGCAACGCTTGAAAAAGCATAGGTACATATAATGGTTCTACGATTATAAAATAAGTTTCCATCATTTCATAAAGCCCTTGTTTCTAGTTGACCTGCGTAAGTTTAAGAATGCATTAGAGGTTTTGTTAAATTAGTGAGTCCGTAATTTATTGACTATATTGATAACAAATTTTAATATTCACATAAATATAACAATTTCTAAAATTCTAATTTGTTTGCATTATTTTTATAATACGGTATAGTATATATAGTACAGTATAGTAATAGTATATATAGTACGTGCACCTAAGGCTGCACTACCAGATTTGGCTGGACAGAGAGAGAATAACGAATGACGAAGGTGAGTGAACTTGACATCCCTTAAATCTTCACCCGGATTACAATTCGCGGGAGTTTTCTTCTGCTCGCAGTTTCCCTGCCACACAATGGATCCGGCGGATGGAATGCTAAGAAGTTTGTCTTTCTCCATATTTGTATGCCTACTAAGTAAAATATGTTATTTTAATATTTTATTATAAGTACTAATTTGCATCCGTGTTTTGCAAATAAAGAATTGAACAGAATTATAATTATATATATATGACATTAATAAAATAAAACTTCAGGCAATTGCATTCCGACTAGTACTTCTATATTTGCGTCGTACTGGGTTTTTTTTTCAAACTATTCTAAAGCTGTTGGGCCTAATTGGACTTGACAGCTTCACTGAACGATAGGGGGCGAGTGCAGATGCTACTCCAAACGCGGAAGGACAAATAAGGATTTACTTTGGATAAGGATAACCTTGGCTCAGGCTGTCGTAATTTCGATCGCCGTTTGAAATGGACAGGATCGATCGGATGGGGCGTAATGGCGATATGGGCCATGCCCTTCCTTTATAGGCGGTAGCGGACATATCGCCCGAGAATATAGGAATAGTCAGTCAATAGTGACGGTGTGGTCATCGGTGTTAATCTTATAATACTAATATCACTGCACAATTCACACAACGCCATTTAGTACAGAGCTCGAGTTATGAGTACTAGACAACTGAATATATATGACAAATACTTTTTTTGTAAATATATTTATAATATATATATAGTAAAACGATGCAAGGAAATTTGTAACAGAAGTGACAAAATGAGCAATTAACTTTTAATGGCGGAAGTGCTTTTCCTGTTTTTTTCGATAGTTTTTTGAATAAGCTATTAAGCGCTCGGGACAGACTCAGTTTGGATTTTATTGAAGATGGCCGACTTTCACTCCTTTATTTACCTTATTTTATTTAACATACTATCACTTGCTGTACAGCTGGAGACAAAGGTACTAATATATTTTATTCTTATATAGGGACATCTCTAATATTAAATGAAAATTTCGTGCATGAACTACTATTGCCATGCACGTTCGTCATTTAAGTACTCATTTAGTGTGTAGTAGGCTTTGCTCAGGGCCGTGTAGTGTCCGGCTTCAGAATAGCACTAACCTCAACAACGGACTAGGGTGTCGTAAAAGGCGACTAAAGTCCACTAGCGAGCGTTTCCATCTTTTACGCTTTGCTACAGGGGAGATGGGCCTCTAAGCATTGTGCTGCAACTCATCTAAGAGAAGGAAAACTCTGAAATTAAACCCGGAACGATACCTCCGTCAGGCGCTATTAGGGTTCAACCCAAAGTATGCGGCAGGTTTCTGCAGCCGATCTGGCTCCACACGTATTGGCTTGCCTTTCCTGTGGGATCAGCTAGTAAGGCAGAGAGGGTAATACAGGTCCTGGGCAACCCTGTGTTTCCTTAACTCCGTCCTAGGCGGCGTAGTCTGTGGAGAGGTCACTCTACCCACATTGGCATAGCTGTGTGGTTAACAACACGGAAAGTGGCAGTTACCGGTTATAAGTCCTCACATATGGGCGTAAGTGTGGACGCCAGGGGTCACTTTCGACAGTGGGAGAGCCCATCGAAGGCTCACTGTTCGTTACCGCCCGCTTCAAGCCGGGCAGCCCCCGGTCAATAAGGTACGTTCCGTCCCGTCGCTGGTCTGTTCCTTTAGGGTGTAGGGAGCACTAGCAGATGGCTAGACGGCTGGCGACGATAATTGTTGCACCTGTTAAACAGAACAACAGTAAAACACTGCCCCGCCAATCCATGCGCATTGCTACATGGAATGTCCGTACTATGAGGACAGGCCTCCCGGATACCTGTGGAGGGTCACAATCATATTGCGCACAAGATCTGCGTAAAACTGCTTTGATTGATGCAGAGCTAAGTAGACTAAACATCTCAGTCTGTGCTTTACAAGAGACCAGGCTTCCAGACGATGGCTCATTGCGCGAGTCTACTTATACATTCTTCTGGAAGGGAAAAGAGTCCTCAGATGTTCGCGAACACGGAGTGGGTTTTGCGATCCGCAACGATTTACTGTCCGCCATCGAGAACCCACGCGGCATTTCGGAACGCATTATGGTCTTGAGACTCAATAGCAGTTGCGGTTCTATTACTATTATTTCCGCTTATGCTCCGACTTTAATATCTACGGACGAGTCAAAAGATCGATTCTATAACCAACTGAGGGAGACAGTAAAGAATGTCAATCGAGGCGATCGCCTTTATATTTTGGGCGACTTCAATGCCCGTGTTGGCGGAGATTATGCCGCATGGCCGAATTGTATTGGTTACCATGGCATTGGCAAGCTGAATGAAAATGGTCAACGGTTACTCGAGTTTTGCTCCGAATACTCGCTGTGTGTAACTAATACATATTTCAAGGGTAAAACGTCGCGTAAAGTCTCTTGGAAACATCCGAGATCTGGTCATTGGCATCAACTGGATATAGTACTTTGCAGAAGCAAAAATCTTCGTGATATTCTCCACACACGTTCCTTCCATAGTGCCGACTGCAACACCGACCACTCACTGGTAGCGGCACACATAGCCTTCACTCCCAAGAGGATACATTCGTCCAAGGTGCCGGGTAGAAGAAAGCTAAATCTTTCTAATATCAGGAATGACGAATGTGTCCAAAAATTTGAGTGTTTGGCAAATGAAATGCTTGCTGCATGGGACGATAGTGCACCTATAAATGTTGAGTGGAATAACGTCAGAAAACTACTCACTGAGAGCGCCGGCGAGGTTTTCGGTTATCAGAAAACCAAATCTCACGACTGGTTCGCGGAAAATGTCGAGCACCTTCAACCATTGCTGGACTCAAAGCGTAACGCTGCCCTTGGGCATCGCTTGAATCCCAGTACGGACACCGACAAAGCGCTTCGAGCTACAAAGGCGGCTCTTCAACGGAGTGCACGGTACTATGCCAACTTATACTGGTCGGAACTTGGCCGCACCATTCAAACCTGTGCAGATAGAGGGGACATCGGTGGTGTCTATGAGGGTGTCAAACGGGCCCTTGGACCTATTAAAAGAAGTCAGCACCTCTTAAGGACGCGAATGGTTTTATTATAACCGACAACCAAAAACAGCTCGAACGCTGGGTTGAGCATTACACCGGTCTCTACTCACGTCCTGTATACTTACAGCCAGAGGCAGTGCTGAGTATGCCGAAAATGGATGTTTGGACCGAACTGGATGATCCACCGTCCTTAGAGGATTTCATCGTGGCTGTCAATCAGCTTAAACGCGGAAAGAGTCCCGGAAAAGATGGCACCCAGGCTGAAATAATTAAACTCGAATGCGCGAAACCAATCCTGCGGAATCTTTTGTTGAAGTGCTGGGAAGCGGGTGATGTGCCACAGGATATGCGAGATGCCAACATCATAACACTATACAAAGGGAAAGGTGACCGCGGCGACTGCAACTGCTACCGTGGTATATCCCTTCTGAGTATAGTTGGCAAGCTTTTTGGACGTGTTATTCTATGTAGACTCCAAAAGCTTGCGGCGCGCATTTACCCAGAGACACAGTGCGGGTTCCGTTCTCAGCGTTCCACGGTAGTTATGATCTTTACACTCAGGCAATTGCAAGAAAAGTGTAGAGAGCAGAATACTCCCCTGTTTGTGGCTTTCGTTGACCTCAACAAAGCTTTTGACACGGTTAGCAGAGAGGGTTTGTACTCGGCGCTGGGGAGCATTGGGTGTCCACCTAAACTCCTGAGCCTCATTAAATCTTTCCACGAGAATATGAGGGGCACCATAGTTTTTAACGGCCAGTCGTCTGAATCGTTTGACGTTCGCAGAGGTGTGCGGCAGGGCTGCGTCTTGGCTCCCACCCTGTTTGGAATATATTTCTCGCTCCTGATATACACAGCATTCGGCGATGACCACCAGGGTATCCATCTGCATACAAGGACCGACGGAAATATGTTCAACATCTCTCTCCTCAAATCTAAGAGAAACCGCGAGGACCTTTTCGTAGATAGTCTTCTCTTTGCCGATGACGCCGCCTTTGTAGCTAATTCTGCAGCTGAGCTTCAATCTATGTTGGACAAATTTTCTCAGGCCTGCTCCCTGTACGCCATGTATGTTAACACCAAGAAGACAGTTGTGCTAACACAAGGCATTCAAGAAGCCCCTTTAATTTCATTGAATGGCACGCTGTTAGAGGTAGTTGACAGGTTTTGCTACTTAGGGTCGACCGTGTCAAACAATCTCTCGCTTGAAGCGGAGATCGACTCACGTATTGGCAAGGCGGCAACTATGTTTGGGAGGCTTAGTACGCGAGTATGGTACAACAAATACCTGACTATCAAGACCAAGATGGTAGTCTTTCAGGCTTCCATACTAAGCATTCTCCTATATGGAGCCGAGACCTGGACAACGTATGCAAAACAAGAGAGTCGATTAAACACTTTTTACATGCGTTGTCTACGCAAAATTTTGGGCATTTCATGGCGTGACAGGGTAACCAACGAGAGGATTCTAGAAATCGCACAGCTGCCTAGTTTGACAGCATTTCTTAAACAGAAGCGCCTACGTTGGCTAGGGCACGTGCACAGAATGGAACCCTCTCGTTTACCACGACGCGTTCTGCTCAGTGCAATAGCGAATGCAAAGAGAGATGTAGGGAGGCCTTTGCTTCGCTTTAAGGATTGCGCCAAACGTGACATGGCCACTTTTCAAATAGACCACCGTAGCTGGGAAAAGCTCGCAACCAATAAATCAGATTGGCGCAAACGCGTAATGGAGGGTCGAAGGGTTTGCGATGATGCCTGGCTTCAAAGGCTTGCTGACAAGAGACGGAAGCGCCACGTAGGCGGCGCAGTACAGACTACTGCCGATAGTTTCCCTTGTCGGGCCTGTGGTAGGCCATGCCGTTCTCGTATCGGTTTATACAGCCACGAAAAAAGCTGTTCACGGACCATTACGCCATAAATCGTCTATAATAGACGCATAGGCCATTATATATATATATATATATATAGGCTTTGCTCAATAAATATGATTTAACAGTTTTTTTTATTCATTTAAAGGTAATTCCAGTATATCCTTCGGTACCTTATTGTAAAATTTAATACCCATTCCCATAAAAGACCCATTGACTTCTTCTAAACAATACTTAGGAACATCTAGTTTGATTTTAAATGTAATATAAATTTTATGAATATTGCTGTTTTTTGGAAATAAATGTAGATTTTTGTGTACATATAGAATATATAAGTATATAAATTGAGAAGCAACCGTGAGAACATTTGGCTCTTTGATTTTTTCACATTATGAGTCACGACTCCTCATATAGTAGATCGCCCGAATGGCACGTTTTTGTAATATGAATATATTTTTAATATCTGCCGCTTTTCCCCAGGAGATGGATGCATATTTGATACTATTTCAAATTACAATTAAAAACTATGGAATGCATTTTTTGTGATTAACTTAGATTGTGGAATGATCTACCTGCCGAGGTTTTCTCAAGAGACTACAGCATGGGTTTTTTTAAGAAGGGTATATTAAGGTTTCTTAAGAGTCGGCAACGCGCATGTAACACCCCTGGTGTTTCAGGCGTCCTTAGGCTACGGTAAACATTTACCAACGGATGGGTGTATGCCTGTTTGCCACCATTGATGTATAAAAAAAAAGTAATGTTGATTGGTATTTATATATAAGTATACCAATGTCCGATAATATTTATCAGAGCTGAATTTATTTAATAAGTAAAACTTTTTGTTTCAGAGGATCCAATATTTCAGTACAGAACATCCCAATATAACATATTGGGACACCAATTACTTCGAGTATGCAAACATATCATCTCGTAGACACAGCCGTAAAGATCCATTATATTATGTTGATATTCATGCTAAGACTGTAGTAACTATTGGAAACAATATGACAGTAAGATATGAACTTTATATTTTTATTTTATTTTATGGAAAACAGTGGCATGGTACCCTCGCCTGCGCTAACGGTGTTCACCAGTGGAGGAGTCAGGATGAGCAAGAAGTCAGTGAGTCAGTTAGTCTGTCGTGATTAATTCACTAGAAATTAACCATATGCTGCGTTCACTTATTTGTTATTTATGTCTTCTTATATGTCATAGTATATTAGTCGCTGTCGGCAACCAAAGCTTAGTGTCTTAACTCTGCGATGTCCACACGGTGAATGTCGTCCCTCTCACGCCTCACGGTCCGCGTGCCCCTGGCCCGAACCGACAGTTCAGTGAACTCTGCAATACTAGTGTTGCATACACAGTATTGCAAGTGTAGCGTTACCTAACGTTCTTCTCTGTCTACCCTATATATGATAACGTGGCTAACATGATTAGTGTTTCCGTAACTTTACCAGCAAGTTATATTATTTTTTTTATTATAATATAATTAATTACAATTATAGGCCAACTTCTATTTCTACGAGTTTCTCAGCAACCAGTACAAGCGTGGTTTCGTTGAAATGCATTTCAAATTTTGTGACTTGGTACTCAATAATAAATTCTTCGGGGCCGCAATGAAGAAGAATATTAAAACATGTCAGTTCCTGTGGTAATAAAAATTATTTTCTACTACTATACCTAGAAAGTGTCTTGGCGAAGCGAAGCCTGTTTTTTGGCGAGTAGCTTGTTGCAACAAGAGCAATCTAAATCTTAGCTTTCTATGTAATTGAGAATATAACAAGGAATTTAGTTTAGTAGTAGTATTAGTAGAATTTGTCCATATACTGTTCATTTGTATAGATGACCGTTACCACTCATCATAACCACCAACACACGTCTTCTTATAACAAATAGAACTTTATCCCGATTACTTTTTTATTTGTCTGTACTAACATATTTTATCATTTATTATAAAACTTAGTGACCGGTCCCGGCGTCGCATGGATCCATCACAAATCTTTCAATTTCCTGACTTATTCAATACTACAATACACATATAAGCCTTCCTCTTGAATAACTCTATCTACTGCTGAAAAATGTATTAAAATTCGCGAAGCGAACAAATAACGGTTTGACACTACTAAAGAATTGTTAATTTTACTATTTTTCTCAATGTATGAATTAAACAGATATTCTATGTAATCTCTACTGTAATCTATACAAAATAATATAAAAAGAGCAGCACATAAAATATGAATAATTTTTTAATTTTAAGGGCGAACATCACCTATATAATATGACTATTCCAATAGAACAAGTGCCAAGGGGATTTCCCTTCACAAAAGGACGCATATATACAAATGTAACAGTCACGGATACTAATAAAGTGGTAGTAACAGGATATATAGATTTGGAACTGAAGGAATTCACAATACCAACAAAAACATAACAAAATTTCTTACCATTAATTTTCATTTTGGTGTAATTTCTAATGAATGCATTTTCATAAATCATAAAATCATTAACTGTTTACAATATAAAAGCATTAATTCAATTTTGTGTGTAAAATAATAAATAAATAAATTCTAATAACAGAACTACAAAACATATTTTCTATCGCCTTTAAATAAGTTTCAAATTATATAATATACCTATAGATAGTATATAGATAAAACATTTCATCAATAAATAAACTAATTAGGAACATCTATACATGTTGATCCTATCCTATATTTATACTTAAGACCAAGACATGGCTATATCAAGCAGATCTAGGAAAGTTGGAGTCGTGTCGTATCAACACCTAAAGAGGTCGATGGATGATCGTGGACAATGGCAAGAGCTCCACCGACAAGAATGCAATTCATAAATTATGAATAAATAAAGCTTTATAATTACAATTTCAAATGTATATAGTAATCATGGAGCAAGTTGGAGGTAACTCACTCCAAGATTATCTATTTGTAGTTACATTTATCCAATTTTCTCAATCCACTATACATTCTGCCAGTTTATGCTACCTGTTTGTCATAGTATCAGGTCGCACCGCGCCTATCCTAGAATCACAGTCAAAAATATGTATTATTTTATATATTCTTTATTACACTTTGAAATACAGATATAGACAATGTGAGCAAATGTAGACTTCTAAAAGACATCTCTACTAGTCAACCTAACACAGCGTGGCTAGTAGTGATTGTGTGCAACTAACAGTAAGGTGACCAACTATAATCATCTAGCTGCCGGGCCGGGCCGGTGATAATGGTTGCTATAATTAAATTTTCCTTCAATTCCTTAGTAAACTGCCTCGTCCCATTGCACATGTTCGGTGGGCTTAATTTTTTCAAAAGCATGATTGTAATTCCGATTTTAACGTCAATTCGAAACGTGGCAGTACAGAAGAGTTTAGTGAATTTAAAAATTGCGGTGAATAACTGAACTGCGTCTTCGATATTAGCCACGGTGTTGGTTGATTTGTAATTTTTGTTTATTTCGTTGACAGTATCATTCCTAGGTGACACTATTACCCTCGAAAATAACAAATGAAAGCCTATTTCAAGCATATTCTGATGTCATGGTATCCGACATCTAACAAAATTTTTAAATTAGAAAGATGTCACAATTTTTGTCTCAATTTGGAGTAGGAAAAATTCTTTCCCCAAGTTTGCAAGCAGTCGTTATGGGAAGTCTGTAATTCCATGAATATGAGCTCTCATATTCGTCCGTAATTTTAAACTTTTAATTAAAGACCATAAGGGAGACGATTTCAAGCATGCTTTTGTGATTGATATGATTATATCTGCTCGCGTACCTACGTTAATGGCAGGGAGAGTCTGAAATCTGAAATCTCCAGCAAATACAAAAGTAATCCCGCCCATGAGAGCAGAGGTATTTCTAAGATATTTTAAAGTATTCACGGCCTCTATATGTTCTCTATGGTGCATTCATCCCACAAAGGCATCTTGTAGTAATTTACCAAGAGGTCCAGTTTTGTGAATAGAACATGTAGGTTGTTGCTCAAGATTCACGGATAGCCGAAGTTTAAAAGAATTATGAGCAGTTTTTCAATCCTTCAGGATTGAGATTCATTCTGAGAGGTGCAGTAATTCCTGACATAGTACCTGCTATCGCTATCTTCCCTGATTATCTTATCTTAGCAAGTATCACCCTCCCGTACTCCAGTGACGACCCTACATCGCATTTGGTTTATAGCTAATACTCACAAATTTAAATACGTGATATATTTTGAATAATATGTCCAAATAGAATAATAAAAGTTATGTAAAGGTATTGAACCAGTCCTGAATATAAAATGATTTATTTTGATAAGGATTAAAAGCAAGATGCAAATAAAGGGCTTATTCTAGCGGCGGCATTAAAATTAATATAATTTATATATTAAAAAAACACTTATTGTGACATAACTATAATATTTTTTGTAGATAATAATGTGGTCTAAAAAGTCATAGTACATCATTTTGTTCTATCATCAATAGTTTTCGCAGCGCATGCGGTGTTAGGTATTTTTATGTAATTTTTTTATACCATGGGTTACATTATTGGAGTTTTAGTAAGAATCCCTAATTTTTTTGGAAATATAATATAGCCTATGGCACTAAGGGATAGCTTCTTAATGGTGAAAGAATTTTTCAAATCGGTTCAATAATTTCAGAGTCTATTCAATACAAACAAACAAACTTTTCCTCTTTATAATATTAGTATATATGAACAAAAATTGAAGAAATGAAACGATGAAAAAATGAAACTTGACAAAAAATCCCATATGAAAATTTAAAAGTTTTAATAGGAATTTCCTTATGTTGTCCAGACACTAATGCTGCTGTTGAAAGGGTATTTTCCCTAGGGAATGATTATTATCTGGTGTCTTAGCAGTCAAATTTAATATGCAAAAGTTATTCAGATGTGGCTACATTATTAGACGTACATCCACATATAGCAAAAAAAAATCCAATCCAGAGAAAAATATCTTTTTAAAAGAAAATAAAGTGTTTATCATTTTTTTGTTCTTATTTTTTCATCTACGAAATACTCTTCGAAATTATTTTCAGGGCGAGTATCACCACGACTACTCGCCCCAGTTTCGCGCGGGTGTACATGTATTACATATATAAACCTTCATCTTGAATCACTCTATCCATTAAATAAACCGCTTCAAAATCCGTTGCGTAGTTTTAAAGATACATAGGGACGGACAGACAGCGAGAGCCACTTTATTTTATACTATGTAATAATAATGATAATGATACACATAGAAATCAAAAAGTTGAAATAGAAATAAAAAATCATACCATCCATCATTTTATAAAGACCTTGTTTCTAGTTGACCTGCGTAAGTTTAAGAATGCATTAGAGGTTTTTTTAATTAGTGATTCCGTAAATATAATAATTTCTACATTTCTAATTTGTTCCCATTATTTTTATAATACGGTATATTAGTACGTGCACCTATTTTTTTATTTTTTTATTGATTTGTTTGGGCTATTGTCAGATACCTGAACCTGTAGCACTGCGACCTACATAGATCTATTGTGCTTGCCCTTTTTCAAAGTTCACTAGACCCGTCAGGGACAAGAATTGAAAGATATTCTTAGGAGCGATGGTTTTTATCTCCTCGGGAAAGAGTGTAAACTTTCCAAGGGAGATATTTCGTTTATGCATGAGTGGGCCACAACCACGTAGGATGTGTAGTGGCGTTTCCTCTTCAGTTTGGCAGAATCTGCAGATTTTTGTCGTGCATAAGCCTAGGTAAGCCATATGTTTGTTCGACTTGCAGTGTCCTGTGAGGGCCCTAGTCATCATGCATATGTTGTTTTTACTCAATAGCAGTAGTCTATTGGAGTATTCGTTCGAGTAGCCCGATATTAGGGCTTTTGAATGTGTCAATCCTGGCATTTCTTGCCAGTGATTTAGTGCTTCTCGTTTGGCTATTGATTTGAGATGTCCCAGTTTTAGGCAACGAGGCACGCCACAGAAGCGTTCGGGACCCAGTTGGGCGGTTTTTGCTCCTAACTTTGCCAGATGGTCGGCATTTTCATTGCCTACGATGTTCGAGTGCCCGGGAACCCATCTCAGTACAATATTATTTCTGCTTCCTACTTTATTTAGTAGCAAGATACAGTTTCTAATAAGTTTAGATCGGATTTCGATTGAGTGAAGTGCTAGTAGAGCAGCTTGACTGTCCGAATAACGTGTACCTAAGGCTGCACTAGTAGGCTCCTAAGACAGAGAAACAACAAATTTGAAAAAAGTCTAAATAAGTTCCACTTTACTTCTAAAACTGACTCAGATTTTATTTAGCTCGTAATTGTGCGAATATTATTTTAGTGAGAAAGGTCAATAATTTAACGAACAGCGCCATCTATCGACTTTAATGTAGTTACGCGGAGTGCCTAAAGTATTTGGTTACCGTGTTTGAACTAAATAATTCTGAATTTAAAGCTATTATTATAATTAATATTACAATAATAATATCTCGTTTTTTCTATCGACTTGGGAAAGCCAGAAAGCAGGGTTGAAATTTTCACAGGTTTTTAAGTTTAGTATGTATCGATGTATGTACCTATCTATTTATCATGTCTGGGAATACTGGACCAAAATTAACAAATGATGTGACTGTAATGTTTCATTATATATAGCGATTAAGGGATTTTTTTACTAAATGAGCAACTTTATTCATTTCCGTGTTTCCTTAATCTATTAAAATTATTTAATAGCGGAAATTAATTTCCTGTTTCATTACATGTATGTACCTATATTTATATAGATATATAAAGCAATGAAGGGTTTATTTATTAAATGAGCAACTTTAATAATTTATGTTATAAATTTCCTTAATCGATTAAAATGATTTAATAGCGGAAATGATTTTCCTGTTTCATTACATGTATGTACCTATATTGATATAGATATACAAAGCGATGAAGGGATTTGTTTACTAAATGAGCAACTTTAATAATTTCTGTTGCAAATTTCCTTAATCGATTAAAATTATTAAAATGATTTAATAGCGGAAATGATTTTCCTGTTTTTGTTCGATAGTTTCTTGAATAAGCTATTTAACGCTCGGAACAGATTCATTTTGGATTTTATTGAACATGGACGACATTTACTCCTTTATTTACATTGTTTTATTTAATATACTAACACTTGCCGTACAGTTGGAGACAAAGGTAATAAACTAATATATAAATTCCCATGTCACAGTGGTAGTTGCCATATTTCTCCGAAACGACTGATTTCGATGAAATATTATACATACATACATATATATATATATAACAATCTATATGTAAGAATAGATTAATCTATATATATATATATATATATAACTGTGACTTCGTGTGCGTGGAATTTAGCTTTATTTATCTAAAATAAAAATAGCCTAAGTTACTCTACATCAGCTACCTGCCAAAAATAGTCCCGTCAAAATCGGTCCAGCCATTTCAGAGATTAACCGGATCAAACAGACAGACAGACAAAAATTGTAAAAGATGTTACTTTGGTGTATGTACCGTATTTATATTCATATGCATGTAAAAATCGGTTATTTCAATATTACAAACAGACACTCCAATTTTATTATATGTATAGATGAGAATTAATTAAGTAATTGAGAATTATGATGTACCATATACATCATATGGTACATTTTAATTCTCAATTACCCAATTTTTTTTAGAGGATCCAATATTTCAGTACTGAACATCCCAATATAACATATTGGGACACCAATTACTTCGAGTATGTAAACGTATCATCTCGTAGACACAGCCGTAAAGATCCATTCTATTATGTTGACATTCATGCCAAGACTGTAGTAACTATTGGAAACAATTTCACAGTAAGATATGAACTTTATATTTTTATTTTAATTTATGGAAAACAGTGGCATGGTACCCTCGCCTGCGCTAACGATGTTCACCAGTGGAGGAGTCAGGATGAGCAAGAAGTCAGTCAGTTAGTCTGTCGTGATTAATTCACTAGGAATTAACCATATGCTGTGACCACTTATTTGTTATTTATGTCTTCTTATATGATATACTGAATATTAGTCGTTATCGGCTCGACAACCAAAGCTTCAAGTCTTAACTCCGCGGCGTCCACACGGGGAATGTCGCCCCTCTCACGACTCACGGTCCGCGTGCGCCTGGGCCGAGACGACAGTTCAGTGAACTCAGTAATACCAGTGTTGCATACACAGTATTTTAACTGTAGCGTTAGCTAACGTTCATCTCTGACTACCCTATCTTACATACTTAATATCTTATCTATATCTATCTTAAATAATTATTCTATCCGTAGTTTTACTACAAAATTATATAGCATTTTAAATTTTTTATTCTAATATTTCATTCCTTATATAGGGCAACTTCTATTTCTACGAATTTCTCAGCAACCAGTACAAGCGTGGTTTCGTTGAAATGCATTTCAAATTTTGTGACTTGGTACTCAATAATAAATTCTTCGGAGCCGCAATGAAGAAGAATATTAAAACATGTCCACTTCCTGTGGTAAATTTTTTTTTTTCTACTGCTATACCTAGAGAGTGTCTTGTCAAAGCGAAGCCTGTTGACGTGAGCAAATCTAAGCTGTCTAAGCTGTTTACAGAGGCACACTAGAAGCAAACTGCGCAAAAATATAAAAAAAAGGTTTCATCACCACACGGTAGGCCGCGGTCGCTGGTACAGAAATATGTTATTAATTCGCTGACTTATTCATAACATCCAAGGCTTGTTACCTGCAATATATTGGGCTCGTACTCCAGGACCACCTCTAAACGGATGTCTCAGAGTTCACAATAACATATAGTGCAAACCCCAAAAATATTGTCGAAATTTAAAATTATCGTATTAGCTGCCGTGCACGGCGGTATATTGCACAAATCAATCAGATTTTCCTTTTTTGAAATGACTAGATGCACGATTGCGCTCATCCGGCGCGTCGGAGGCGCCACTTTACAAAAACATACTCAATCGTAAAATTACAAATATACAAACCTTGGCTGCCAGTGTAACAGACCAGCGAAATAACAATGCTGTATAAAAATATTGCTAATTAAATGTTTTAAATAGTGTAACCAAACACTTTATATTGCAAATATCTGCTCTAGGTAGACATACGCAGCATGCAATTTAGTTTAGTAATAGTATTAGTAGTATGTCCATGGTAAAGTTTATTTTTGTAGCTGACCGTTACCACTCACCATAATCACGAACACACATCTAACGAATATAACTTCATCTCATTTAGTTTTTTATTTGTCTGCATTAACATATTTTATTATATATTATGAAACTTAGCGAACCGTCCCGGCGTCGCATGGATGCATTACGAACCTTTGACTTTCTCCGCTTGTTCTATACTATATACATGTATTATTAGTGATTAAACATTCTTTTGAATCACTCTATCTATTGCTGAAAAGTGCATTAAGATTCACGAAGCGAACAAACAACGGCGACGGTTTTGCTTTAAACTATGTGAAGATTTGTTAATTTTTACTATTTTTCTCAATGTATGAATTAAACAAATATTATATGTAATATCTACTGCTATAATAACATCAAAAGAGGTGCGCATAAAACAGTAGGTATTGATAGAAAATTAAGAGATAGTGAATCATTTTTAAATTTCAGGGCGAACATCACCTATATAATATGACTATTCCAATAGAGCAAGTACCGAGAGGATTCCCCTTCACAAAAGGACGCATATATGTAAATGGAACTGTAACGGACACAAATAAAGTTGTAGTGGCAGGATATATAGATTTGGAACTAAAGGAATTCATAGTACCAACAAAGACATAACAATATTTTCTTTTGTTAACTTTCATTTTGATATAATTTGTAATGCAATTTTTCAGAAATTTCATTAATAATTTAATTAACTGTTTACAATATAAAATATTCAAATGTGTGTAAAATAATAAATAAATAAATTCTAATAACAGAACTATAAATCATATTTTCAATCACTTGTAAATAAATTTCAATAAATAAACTAATCAGGAACATCTATATATGTCGATTGATCCTATCTTATATTTGTACTTTAGACCAAGATATAGCTATATCAAGCAGATGTTGGAAAAAGTTGAAGTCTCGTATCAACAACTAAAGAGATCGATGGAAGATTGTGGAAAATGGCAAGAGCTTCACCGACAAGAACGCGGCTCTTAAATTACCAACAAATGAAGCTTTATCTTTCCAAAAGTCATGGAGTCAGTTGGAGACAACTCCCTCCATGATTTTCTGTTTGTAGGTACACTCATCGAATTTTTTCCACCATCATCCATTCCCCCAGTTTCCGCTATCTATCGACCAATATTGTTAGTATCAAGTCGCACTGCATCTACCTTAGTACGTAGTCGACGCCCGGCCGATATCACTGCATTTTTATATATTTGGGAGAGTGCTACTCCTCAACTGACCCTTGGAACAGCAGCTGTTTAGTAAGCTTCATAAAATGAAAACTTATCTAGAGGATAGAATGCAAACTAAAAATATTGATGGTGTAAAGTCTAAGGGAACTAATATTAATATAGGCGTTCCTCAAGGTTCAGTCTTAGGCCCATTTCTCTTTTTAATTTATATAAATGTACATTATTCAATTATAGAAGGAAAAACTTAGATAATTTCAAAAAACTTGAAGACTGTACAAGTAGAAACTTACGCAATAAAAATAAGCTAATTTTACGTAAATGCCGTCTATATAAAGTTAGTAACACATTGAATGGTAATTGCGTAAAATTTTATAATAAACTGCCAGAATCTACTCTAAATCTGACAGAGAGGCAATTCAAATTTTATATTAAACAAATGTTATGTAAAAAAGCCTATTATAGGATAGATGAATTTATAGGTGATAGCAATATCTAGCAAGAATAATTTTCATACTGCTTTCTTGAAATATGATAGCGTAGCAGCTTTTGTATTGATTCCCACATGCATCCTTATGTGCGAATACTGTAACTACCATATAGTAATTTTCAGTAGCTATGACGTGGTTGAGTGGAATGAGTAGTCATGCTCACTAAAATGTTCAGATATGTGGCGGCGTGGTGGGCCGGGTCATTGGGCTCCCTAAAATATGGTCGAGCGCAGTGGTGGCTGGCTCATTTCATACTCGTGAAATGAACTCGTCGTGAACGAGTGCTGCTTGCAGGGACTGATCCGTTCTTATCACTACGACTGATCTAATCTAACACAGAACAGTTTTTATATTTGAGCCTAAATAAATTAGTTGGTAATTTGTATTCATACGTTTCGACTAGTAAAATGTGAACTTACAAGGATTGTTTAAAAGAGCAACATACAAGTTTCTTCCTTATTCTTCTTGCGATGAGATAACTTTCCAAATGAGCGGTATTTTAAAAAAAATGTTATGACTATTCAAGAGTGCTTAAAATTAATTTTGGAAAATAAAGAAGAGACAAAGAGTGAACATAAATAAATAATATTAAGAAACAATCTCAACAACAACAACTCACATTTGCACGCGCTGACTTTCCCGCACTAAATCGCAGCCGTCCTGGTCGCGCCTGAAAGAATGTGTAAAATTTCAATAAAAAATATAATTTATATGTTGTTCTGATGCATAAGCTATATTACTGTAAAGTTTCATCAAAATGGGTTTAATAGATTTTGCGTAAAAGAGTAACAAACATCCATACTCACAAACTTTCGCGTTTATAATATTATTAAGGTGATTCACGATGAGGACGATGGAATTGTATTTTCAATAAATAAAACATGCAATTTTAATTCCGATAGCAATGAATGTATAAATACTTCTAATAGCGGAAGTTATTTGGCTGTTTTGGTTGCATGATTCTTTAAAGAAGGCATTTATTGATTCATATAAAATTTTGCTTTTATTAAAAATGGTCAACATTTCATTGTCCCTTTATATTATTTTATTTAATATACTTTTAGAATAGAAACTTTTTACTTACTGTTCAGCTAAAGACAAAGGTAAAAATACCTTTAAATTAATCAATTTATTTTAATATTACAACATTGTAATCATTAATTCATTATATTAATTAATGAAACGTTCATTTGCCAGGAATGTGGAGTGCACAATGATTAATAGAATCGGTACATATCGTTTGACATGCAAAATTTTTGTATAGTAATAGTAAGCTTCTAGCTTCCGATTGAAGTTTAGTGCATCATAATTATATGTAGTAAATATTATTATTACATTAGATCATTGAAAATTAATGCAATTATTATTCAGACATTTTCAGTATCATTCTTATGTCTATGTGAATATTATTCATATTTTTATATTATTATACTAATATAATCCACATTAGATAATTTATAGGTAAAACAAAATTACAAAGGGTGTAAAACTACACAAATCAACCCCAAAAAACATATAATTCTCTCACCCTTCTCTTCTATTCTGTCATAGGGTTTATGGGTCATAAAATTTTGTACCCCTTTTTACGAAACTTGCGCGGTTGGAATCGTATGAAATTTCGCACCTATTGCTTATATAGAGAAGGGGTGCAAAATGCATTTTTTTTTAATTACACACTACCATGTATATAACAAACTCATAGTTATTGACAATAGAACCTTAATAATGTTACAACAACATAGTAGCAATATACCGAAGGAATTGCTACTATCCCGCCCAGGGCGCACCAGAACCAAACTATTGCTCGGCCACCGTTCTCCGCAGACGTATCCACGAGGATGGGAAAGCCTCCCCCAATAGCTGGCCCATACGAGGAGGTTATTTGACCACGTACCCCAACTTTCAACTCCTCTTGTAAGTCTTACACCCCATTTTTTTTCACAACACAAACTTCTATACAACCTTTCATGTCCTCTTTCAACCCCGTATAACCATTTTTCGCATTAAAAATAACCTATGGCTGACAACAGATTGATAATAATTAGTTGTTGACGGCAGATTGACACTAGTGGGCTCCTAAGACAGAGAAACAATAAATTTGAAAATAGTCTAAATATATTCCATTTTACTTCTAAAACTGACTCGGATTTTAGCGTTTTTTCTATGTACACAAACTCGACCTCTACAGTTTTCTGATATGTAAATAGATATATACATATAATTAATCTATGGGGATCTTGATCATCGTATGAGCAATATTATATAACCAGGTAACAAAGTGGCCGCTATTCCACAGGACGCTGCCGCAAGAGCTATTTGCCTTGAGCACGTAATTGTGCGAATATTATTTTAGTGAGAAAGGTCATTAAATTACCGAACATCGCCATCTATCGACTTTTATGTAGTTACGCGGAGCGCCTAAAGTAATTGGTTAGCGTGTTTGAACTAAATAATGCTGAATTTAAAGCTATTTATAATTAATATTACAATAATAATATCTCGTTTTTTCTGTCGACTTGGGAAAGCCAGATTGCAGGGTTGAAATTTTTACAGGTTTATAAGTTTAGTATGTATCGATGTATGTACCTATCTATTTATTATGTCTGGGAATACTGGACCAAAATTAACAAATGATGTGACATTCTCACCCTTTGCCTAGGCTCAAAATGACTTTACTTAAACAGGTTGTGTACTTATACAGCATAAGTTACTATAGATTTTAACTATCCCGTGGGAACTCTTTAATTTCCGTGACTCCGTGATCAAAAGTATCTAAGATGTTTAGCGAGGATGTAAGCTTCCTCCATTCAAAATTTCATTTAAATAGGTCTAGCAGTTTCGGAGATTACCCTGTACAAACAGACAGAGAAACAATAATTTTGAAAAAAATCTAAATGTGTTCTATTTCACTTCTAGCATCCCTCTGATTTGATTTTTGGCATTTCTTTTATATTTCCAGAAATTCGATCTCTACTGTTTTGTTATATATATATATATATATATACAAAGCGATGAAGGGATGTTTTACTAAATGAGCAGCTTTATTCGTTTCCGTGCAAATTTCATTAATCGATTAAAATTATTTAATAGCGGAAATTAATTTCCTGTTTCATTACATGTATGTACCTATATTGATATAGATATACAAAGCGATGAAGGAATTTGTTTACTAAATGAGCAACTTTAATAATTTCTGTTGCAAATTTCCTTAATCGATTAAAATTATTAAAATTATTTAATAGCGGAAATGATTTTCCTGTTTTTGTTCGATAGTTTCTTGAATAAGCTATTTAACGCTCGGAACAGATTCATTTTGGATTTTATTGAACATGGCCGACATTTACTCCTTTATTTACCTTATTTTTTTTAATATTCTATCACTTACTGGACAGTTGGAGACAAAGGTAATAAACTAATATATGTCACAGTGTTTGTTGTCATATTTGTTCGAAACACATAAGACAAAATACTTAAATACAGAGTTCAAAGGCAATTATTGATTCATATAAATTTCGGCTTTTATTAAAAATGGTCGACATTTCATTGTCTCTTTATATTATTTTATTAAATATACTTTTACTTACTGTTCAGCTAAAGACAAAGGTAAATACAATTAAATTAAGCAATTCATTTTAATATTACAATTATAATTATGGGTGCCGGTGTAATTGGTGTATAATCAAACGACATTGTAATCATTAATTCATTATATGAAGTAATTAATGAAACGTTTATTTGCCAGGACTGTGGAGTGCACAATGATTAATAGAATAGGTACATATCATTTTACATATTCCGTCTTATGTGAAGACATATTGTTGCTAAAGCTTCTAGCTTCCGATAGGAGTTTAGTACATCATTGTAATTATATATAGTAAATATTATTATTACATTAGATCATTGAAAATTAATGCAATTATTATTCAGGCATTTTCAGTATCATTCTTATATCTCTGTGGATATTATTCATATTTTTATATAATTTTACTAATATAATCCACAATAGATAATTTATAGGTAAAACAAAATTACAAAGTGTGTAAAACTACACAAATCAACCCCACAAAAACATATCATTCTCTCACCCTTCTCTTCTATTCTGTCATAGGGTTTATGTGTCATAAAATTTTGTACCCCTTTTTACGAAACGTGCGCGGTTGGAATTTCGCGCCTATAGCTTATATAGAGAAGGGGGTGCAAAATGCATTTTTTTTTAATTACGCACTACCATGTATATAACAAACTCATAGTTTTTGAATATAGAACCTTAATAATGTTCAAACTTATAATTTAAACATCTGTAAGTCTAACAAACTTGTTCTACTAACAAATTTGAGTAAATCATAAAAAAATCGAGTATACAAAAATAAAGCAGATAAACTATTTTTTTTAATGTAATGTAATTAATAAAATAGTAGGTGGCGTACTGGGACTATTTACAAAATGTACTGCTTGATCTCTTGCGTGTTTTTAGCATTATATTATAGCCCATGTATGTATTGACCTATATTTGACAATACATATATTGTGTGATCATTTCTTTCGGAATAATCCGGTTAGAAAGAAATAAAATTCCTCTGTATGAAACATTAACACGCGAACAAATAATAGGAAAGTCTTGGCTTCTCATAGTTTTACGATTATTATGTTATATTATGTACTGTTTCATATTTCAAACACTTTGTTAGTTTTAATTTCGGACTACTCTAGCGCTGTTGGCAGCAGGTGGCCTTTTCAGATCCACCGAACGATAGGGGGCGAGTGCAGATGGCACTACAAACCCGCGGAAGGACTTATACGAATTTAGCCTGTGGGCGTCGCTAGGATCTTATAACTTCGTAATTTCGATCCTCGTTTTAATTGTCAGGGAATCTATCGTAGTCGTATAATGCCCATTTTACCCGAGTCATCGTTCATACACCGCCATCTTGTGACCACTACTCTCGAAAAACCACAAGTGATATACATTGATTATCAGATCATTATGTATTTATGTATGTATATTTTTTTTTATAGAAATTTATATTTATAATATTTTGATTTATATTTATATATCTTTTTTTGGCATTTCTAATTTATATTAGTGCACCGCCAACAATCTTTCTCTGCACCAGTCATGGTTGACTGGTAGATAACGCCGCAAGGTATTAAGTCAGTCAGTCAGTCATATATACACATTGTTTTTGTGCATTAAAATTAAATAAATAAATATCAAGTGGGAATTAAATTAGATAATAAATAAAAGTGGTGCACTACATGTGTACCTTTTTATTTCTCGGATCAACAATAAATATTCTTTATATTAATCCTGGAATCCAGACCCGGATGCATTAAATGTGGATGATGTTACTATAAATTGGTCAAAGTATTCTTATTATGCCTTTCCACCATTTAGCCTAATTTTAAACTGTCTAATGAAAATACGAAATGAAAAAACCACAAGGATCATAGTCATGTCGTACTGCCCATTATAACTATTATTCTCCGTTATACAAGAAATACTGGATTCCAAGTTATTATATTTCAGACCAGAGAAAGATCTGCTATTTTCCCCTTAACCAGCAGGGGGAAGAAGATTGTTAGTAATGTGGACTCATGGCCCCATTGCTAGCAATGTACCATGTCAGGTTGACCTCCACGCGGTTCCCCCTGGAAACCATCGTGATAAATTCCCTGTGAATTTGCGCGGCAGGTGCACCATTCCATTATCAACCTCTAAAAAAATCCCCTTAACCAGCAACCTACATTTGCAAAATTTTACAATAAGCCCATTATTACAATTGGCCTCAGTTGTCCTTCACGGCTTCAACGGTCGAAAAAAATAATTATTCACAATAAAGAAATATAATGACAATTTAAATAAGAGGGATTAATCGAATTCGATATATATAAAAATGTAAGAGCGCTGTCTGTATATGGATGAAAAATTAGATTATTGGAGGACTCTATCAACATAATAAAACTGAAAACTGTTATTAGAATCTTTGTCAGTGTCTGTGCATTCGTGAGTGTAAAACTCAGAAACGTCTTAACCGATTTGGGTGCGGTTTTCACTAATGTTTTTCCGGAGATTCCGAGTACGAGATCGAGGGCTCAGCTAGTAAAAATTAATATAACTGTAATAATTAATGTACATTTATTTAAATATAATAGCGGAAGTTATTAAACTACTTTCGAATATTATTCTTTAAAAGTCTAGCTATACGGAACGTAACATGTACAGTTTGGTATTCGTCAAAGATGGACTTCTCTGTCTCAATTCTTTACTCCGTTATGTTGAATATCCTATTACTTGCTGTTCAATCAGAGACAAAGGTAATGAGATAACTTTTTAATATGCATAAATTAATTCATTATGTGACGTTACAACTGAGGTAGTTGTAACGGTTTAGCGCACAGCCATATTTCCGCTGGTCGCGGGGTCGATATCTCACACGGTACAATCATTTTGTATTCATGAGTAGCGTCTCTTTTCTATGTCTAGTATGTATGTATTTATATCAATCGAAATTATTATTAGGTATATCATAATTTGATTCGATGTTATGTAAACTAGAATAGCAAACAATGTAACGCCCAGCCATTTGCTATTCTAGTGAACTAAGATGCCATTCTATTCACACTATTCACACTATTCATATTCACACAAGTAAATATTTTTTATATAGAGTATACTCTATATAAAAAATATTTACTTGTGTGGTTTGTTCGTGGTAGTTCCAATAGGTGTATCTGAGAGACTTTACTGTCTCCCACATGTAAAAATAATTATTATTGTGTAATGGACTTATATTATTTTGTTTAATTAATAGAATTTTGATATGGTTTGGAAGCCTAGTGTTAACACTAGGCTTCCAAACTTGAAACTTGAATTGGTCGCCGAATAGTTAACTATTCGGCGACCAATTCAAATTCAAAAATCATTTATTCAATTAGGACATTTTAGCCGATTATGAAAGTGTCTAAAAAAGGCTGTGATTCGTTTTACAAAGTAATTATTTTTTTTTCAGAGAATCCAATATTTCAGTACAGAGCATCCTACTATAACTTATTTTGATAGAGATTACCTGAAGTTTGTGAACGTATCGTCTCGTAGACGCAGTCGTAAAGATCCATTCTATTATGTTGACATTCATGGCACGACCCTTATTGATGTGGGAAACAATTTCACAGTAAGATCTCATCTATAAGTATCTAAGTTTAAAACATTATAATTCTAGATGTAATATAAAAATATAAATTGTATTAATAAATAAATAATATTATATTTTAAAACCATATCCAGCTAGGTAGATCAAATTTCAAGAAAGATATCAATCGAATCCATCTCGGATGGGCAGCGTTCGGGAAGCTCCGATATATCTCTTCGTCTAAATTTCCGCAGTGTCTCAAGACGAAGGTTTACGACCAATTTGCGTTGCCAGTGATGACTTACGGAACAGAGACGTGGTCGCTAACAATGGGCCCCATCAACAAGCTCAGAATCACTCAGAGGGCAATGGAGCGGGCTATGCTCGGAGTTTCTCTGCGTGATCGAATCAGAAATGAGGAGATCCGCAGAAGAACCAGAGTGACCGACATAGCCCGAAGAATTGCGACTCTGAAGTGGCAGTGGGCAGGGCACACAGCTCGTAGGACAGATGGCCGTTGGGGCAGTGAAGTCCTCAAGTGGCGACCACGGACCGGAAGACGCAGCGTGGGAAGGCCTCCAGCATGGTGGACCGACGATCTGGTCAAGATCGCTGGAAGGCATTGGATACGAGCAGCGCAGGACCGATCGTCGTGGAGATCTTTGGGGGAGGCCTATGTCCAGCAGTGGACGTCTTCCGGGCTGCGATGATGATGATGTTATTTTAAAACACAATTTTCACGGTTATTATAACAGTTTTGCTGGTCAAGAGGTGTAGCACGCCACCTTAATTTTGATGGTCCCAGGTTCGTTTCCTCTCATAATGACATATATATTCAGGAGTATAATATAATAAGTCGGAAGTTGGAAGGGTTCTATTTATATCTACTGTATATTTTAAAAACAAAATATTTAAGTATACCCATAACAGATGGCGCTGCTTAAATTGTCCTGTGTAATTATTATTACTTTACCGCAATACTTCCGATGAGAGTAAAAAAATATTAATGTAGTAATATAGCTATAAATAATTAGGGGTTGATGGTAGAGGAGTGAATAGAAACCCTAAATGGGTTGCATGCATTTTATAATTCTGATAAATAAAATAAAAACTTTTGTCTAAAAAATTTAATTAAAATTATTGGTTATTAACCACCCTTGTCATTTAGAAGTAGTCATTCTAAAACCTACTGGATCCACACAGAAAATTTCATAAGAATCGATCAAACCGTTTCTGAGAAGTTTTGTTACAAACTCTGTGACACGAGAGTTTTATATATTAGAGGTTTCATTAATGTTATTTATAGAGTAACTTCTATTTCTACGAGTTTCTGACTAACCAGTACAAGCGTGGTTTCATCGAGATGCACATCAAAGTATGCGACTTGATCCTCAATAATAAATTCTTCGGGACCGCAATAAAGAAGAATCTTGCGTATTGTCCACTCCCAGCGGTAATCCTTATTAATATTATAAATGCGAAAGTAACTCTCTCTGTCTGTCTGTCTCGCTTTCACGCCAAAACTATAGAACCGATTTCAATGAAATTTGGTACACAGATAGTCTGAGAAAGATCATGGCCACTTTTTAATCCGAAAAAAAGGGTTGTAAGGGGTTGAAAGGGGATATGAAAGGTTGCATGGAAGTATCGACAATTTACACGGACGAAGTCGCTGGCACATCTAGTATACATATATATTTTATTCATTCATTCATTCATAATTTAAGAGCTATGCTCTTGTCGGTGGGGCTCTTGCCACTTTTCGCGATCTTCCATCACGATATCTTCTGGGTAATCGCGCTACATCCTAGGTCTTGCCATCATTTACCATCAGATGAGGTAAGACCAAGCTCAAACCCATTATTAATAAAAAAAAAAACACAGCTCACAATATTAGCTGTTTGGCGGCTGTAATAGGTGCGACTGGTTCACAAGACGTTTTACAGTCGTTGGAATCTAGTGACAGTAGTTCAACAAACTGTTGACATCTACCGATATTGACATTGTTGTATTTATAATTCACTTTGCAAATTTCAATTTCAGGGCGACTATCACCTATATAATATGACTATTCCAATAGACCAGGTGCCAAGAGGATTCCCCTTCACAAAAGGACGCATATATGTGAATGGAACTGTCACGGACACAAATAAAGTTGTAGTGGCAGGGTACATAGATTTGGAACTGAAGGAATTCACAGTACGAACAAAAACATAATATAATTGCTGTTATTAATTTGCATTATAGTATTATATGCATAGTATTTATATGAAAATCAAAATATTATTTATTCTGCTCTGGGATTTCCCTTTCCAGTTTTCTGTATGGTCCTAAAGGTAGGACTTACGGATTTATAATCCCGAACTCTCGACCTACTGTAGTTCCTACCAAGTACCTCTAATAAACAAATAGGACCTTGAATAGAGATATTTTTTTATTATACCACTCATTCGGAACGCAGACTCATCACAATAAGAATGAGCAGAACACTTGCATGTTGCTCTATTAAATAAATTTTGTTCAGATTTCAATTTTTACAACTTTATGTAAAAAAAAACCTTCCAAAGCTAGTAGCAAAGTTGTTGTCCTCTACACATAAAAATTAGGTTGAAAGACATTCAACAAGCTACTTTTTTTAATAATGTTGAAAAGACGCTGAATCGGATATTTTTTAAAAAACAAAAAAATCATAACTACAAAACTATTGACTTTCGGCCAAACTCTATTTTGTCCTGACGGGAATACGTCGAGTTACCAGTAACCCTATATAAATAATATTAAGCTGCCTGAAGTACATAAATAAATAAACTATAACTATAGTAATAATTATTTATTAAAAAAACAACGTAAAAATTATTATTAAGCAAACGACCTAGATACGTATTTTCACATATAAGAATAAACAAAAGAAATATCCATTTAACAACCCAAAGGGTTCTTACGCTTAGAGGGTTAGGGTGTTTCCTTATGTTTAAAGCCTCAGGACAAATCCGGGATCAAATCGTCTAAGGCGCTAACGTGGCAGATGAAAAATGACTAATACAAGGATGGTTGGTATTATTTTATAGGAACACAATATCTATACTTGTGAAGAATGGAGACCAAGACGGAAAGCAAAGAAAACGGCACCGGTATAGAATAAATATTGTGTAATAATGACTTATGTCATATAAAAACAATATAATATTATAAAAAACATAGATAATAAAAAAGGTATAAAAATAGTTCGCAACAATACTAATTCTAGCTGACCCCGCAAACGTCTATACAACTATATAAATTAAAATTGGAGTGAATAGGTATGAAGGAAGGAGCTCACCGGTTAAACTTCTCACCATAATAAGAGCACTGGTTCACTATTCACTATTGTCCAAGTTAATTATTTAAGAATATTCTTATCACTTCAACAACAGACACAACACTTAATTAAATTGCTTCATTTTATGCGTTTAGAGTTTATTATAATATTTGCGGACTGCAATGGCGCCCGGCGGTGAACTTGAACTAACTGGGCGGAAGTACTCTTTAATAATTTCTTATTATTTTTGACATCTTGCATTGTTTCAGGAAGTAGGAAAAGGAAGGACATATCTGTAATGTGTGTGCGTGAATGAGATAGCTATGTAAATTAAAACGCGCGCTTATCTTTCTATTATATTGGTAGTTGACAATGCATGAAGGAGATGCAGGACTGCGTGTGAGTGAAATAGAGTATCAAACGAACTATCGATGCGTAAGGAAAGAATAGGTAAATCTATACATATAAATAAAATTGGAGTGTCTGTTTGTAATTTTAAAATCACTAGTATCCTGACGACTTAGGCGTAATACCGGTTAGTCAGGGAGAGAAACACCTCAATGCCTACAATATTCACAATTACCTATCTCTTATTTGTTTTTATAATAATATATACACTTCAACTTTTTCGCTCCAAAACTCCCGCTGCTTACGTTCAATCATCCGTCATCCACTTGTCAATGTCACATAGATTACTTTGGCTCTGGCCTCTGACGTTCCGTTTCAGGTTACATGATTATTGACTTTACCATTTTTAATTAATGGTGCGTCACACGATAGTTAACAGTCGGCCATCCTGCAATAGTGTCTGGCCCAGACACATAGGTAACTGAGGAGCGTAGTCATGCTTATCAAAGGATATAGTGTCTACAGGATCATATAACAAATACTAAATTAAATAAACTAAAGATATACATTACTTTCATAACATTGACTATCTTAGTATACTGTCAAAGGTTTACAATCTAAAATCAATACTAACAGAGCTAAGTTTCGGCATGCATTCAAATGCACAAAATATAACATAACATATATTAATTTACATAATCCAAATCACCCAAAAACATGAACAACCTTTTAGAGTAACAAACAATTATTTGGCGGTGATTGACTTCTATGAGTCAGACTGTAACATATCACCATCACAATGTAAGTTTCCGATCTTATGAACATTGCATTTTTTTTTATACCTCCAAAATAGAACTTGACATTTCACGTCATGAATATTTTAACGGATAAATTTAACATATCACATTACAAAAGGTAAAACTTAATTACCTACATATATAGAGAAAAAAATATAAAGGAAAGTAATATTCTCGTGACATAAAATTAGAACAAAATCGCTGCCTGCCTTCACCTAACCAATAGAAAATAACAGGTCAATATTATTCAAGTGGTTCTAATACCCTCAATACTACTACTACTATTTTACTTCGACGATACTCTTGATTTACCAGAGAATTATTTTAATATAACATAATTCATTGAATTTCAGTTATGATTTACTTAATAATACCATCAGCTCACTGGTCAAGTAATCTATTGCACCCTTTGAACCCTGTACATTTAGGGGACTATAAATGATTGTAGATACTGATCTCAATTTTCTTTACAACACCAGTTTAACATAAACCAAAACCCACTGTTCCAGATTAATGTGAAATAGAAATAATCTTTATTCAAACAAACTCAACACAAGCACCCTTGAGTAGTCAAGTTCCTTGAATCTATCGCTCATTCGGAACGCAGTCTCATCACAAGAAGAATAAACGAGAAACCTGTGTGATGCTCCTTTAAATAAATATTGATTTACTTATATTTAATTAACAACAAGGATTAGGCATGCGGCAATCAACATAAAAACCGCCACGCACCCAATCTCCGCTCAATCAGACAACATTGACAGCGCTATGAATTTCAAGTTAGATATTTTCTAAAAAAAAACACTGATTTATAAATGATGACATTTATAAATTCTTCAATTTTATAATAAGCCTTTTTTTTTTTTTTTACAAAGAAAATACTTTATGACACATTTGATTTCTTTTTCTGGCAAATTGAGTACAGACTCCGGGAGTCCGTTGCAAAACCCTGCGCAATCTCCATAAAACGAATTACCAACTTTCATTAAACGAACGTGAGTTTAGTAAGCCTACTATTCACTTTATATTTAATCGATGGTATTCGTAGCCACTTCGGCCATCCAACGTTATCGAAGGGCCTCATTCGATATTATCATAACAGTTAACATCGGGTAATATAATAAAATTAAAATCTTATAAAATTTAGTTTGAGATAATTTACATACTTAAAATATGAAAGTTGCCACTGACAACTACACATTACATTTCAACATCATGACTTCAGTCTTTGTTATATTTTCCCGCCTTAAGTTGTATCACTTAATTTTTCACACCAGGTACTAGTCAGCATCTCTGCAAACACGGCTGCCTAGCTAATTAGTGAAATACCTGTTAAAACAAAACATTAAAAAATGCCACCGCTTGCGCACTATGAGCTACGGTCTCAACAGATCTGGATTTTATTAGACTCAGCCACCGCTTGCCCGCACAAGGAGCTACGGCCTCAAACTGGTCAAATTCTCATTAGACTCAGCCACCGCTTGCCCACACAAGGAGCTACGGCCTCAAACTGGTCAGATTCTCATTAGTCTCAGCCACCGCTTGCCGCCACAAGGAACTACGGCCTCCAACTGAAACACATCAAATATTTAACAACTGGTCATTTTCTCAATGAGGCATTCACCGCTTGCGCACGCAAGGAGTTACGGCCTCCAACTAGTCATATTCTTTATGGTACTATGCTATTTTTACTTCAGCCTCAAGTGCTCTACATTGCAACTCAACTATGGGTTATATGCACTCCCATCAAATTTTACTATTACTTTTTATTCTATTACATTTCTTTAAGAACTGGATTTCCTGGTTCCATTTTACTATTTCTCCAACGCTTTAAAGGACTTTATGACATTTAATCATAAGTTAATTCAATTTAATTATGTACCAAATTCGAATTATATATCTGGTTGATATATATCTATCAATTTCTGAACGAACTTGCAATATATTACTACCACATTATTATCTACCAAATCTTGAGTAGCATCAACAAAAAGCGAGTCGTTTGTTGTACGTCGCATTGAGCACACGCGGATCCCCATTTTCTCCGTGAACTAACGTATACGGAACCATCAGCAGCGATCTCAGCGCAATCATCTCATCAGTATATCATCAAATCTAAATCACCATCATTTACCTTAAAATCCATAAATCGTATTCCTAGTCATATGATTATTATATTAATCTCATAATTTCATCGAAGTATTGCAAATCATTTTTCATTGTCATATCAACCGCCCGTTCTATTAGCCATTTTGCTCATAATTCAGCTTGTCATCGATTGTAACTCATCATTGTATCACTAGCATTCCTTAATCTTTCAGATCTATTCGTTCATGTACAACTCTTCACCGCGTATATTTACCGACTATTTTCCATCGAGGTGTATCAAATTTTACCTTGTGATCGCCCTTACTACAATCTTGCAGTGTAACTATCTTGTACACCTCGAGCGCTTTATTCATAATATTTCTAAAGTGTCTGTATACGGTGTCTGGGTTCTATAAATTAGCACCTCTTCTAATTTCCCATTAATTACAACACATTTTCTAAAATATTCTGCGTATTCGGCTGTAACTTTCTGCTTACTAGCAGACCATGTTCTCGAGCTATTAGTTATATTTAAATTCCAGACACATAAAATCAGTTCTGAAAGGATTAATTTCAATTTAAACTATTTAGTTAGTACAATAGTCAATCCGATTTCTCCAAAGGGCGTTCAGCCACACATACAAGTGCATATAGGTGCTCAGACTAATCTATGGAATCAAATGCCC